CCCCCCCCCCCCCCCCTTCCAAAGTAAAGGGAATACTATTCAAAATGCGATGTCTGAGCAGCATTTTGTTTTTGAAAAAAAATGAAATCAAGCTGACAGATGAGGAACAACAAAAGATCGCAATAAGTAGCTTATAGCCAGCTTAGCCAACGATAGACTCCTGTAAGTCCAGAAATAGGGGTGGATGTGTCATACCTGTCTTTTTACAAAAAGAACCCCCTTGGTAAACTTTTATGGATGATCAGCTCTCCATAGCAAACATCGCTTGGCTTTTGGTCAGTTGAGCAATACACAAATACTAGGTATCAAATAGCACGTAGTCATAATGAAAAGCAATATTTCTATGAACTTTCATAATAGGTTTTTGCATTCAATTCACTCATATGGAAAGACAAGCTGAGAAAGAATTTTTGCAAACCTAAAACCTTCTAATACAAATATTAAAAACATGTAACACATAATTCAAGATAAGGTTATACATGTATCTTTAGATTGTAACAATGCAACTTGTATACATGTACATGTTCAATAAAAAAATGTCTTCATAACAAATCAAACTTTAACCCTTTCAACACTGTAGACCATAATGGACTAATCCATATCAATGCATGGTAGAGTCTATTAAAGTGACATAGGGGTGAAAGGGTTAATAGAGGTCTATAATAAACTATATTCAACATATACACATATTAAAGTATACAGGGCTTTCATAGCATAACCATAAGTGAACATAAATCCAGATATTTTTGATGTAAATATTGTGCCCAACATGATTGAAAAAATGCCAAAGTCTTATACAAAGCTGGAAAAAAGGCATGAAATAGACATCCTACCTGTAAATATACCTGTACCTGTGGTAAAAGTGATACCTAACAGAGCATCTGTCTTGAGCTATCTAGGTTTGTAAGACTGCAGGTGTATAGATAGGCATGCTAAGGCCGTACTTAAAGAATATTTGTTTGTCCTTGGTTAACTCTACCTCAGTAGTGTAGGCATAGGTGGGAGAAATATTTCAGTTTATTTCCGATTTTCATTCAAATTTAATTCAGCAATAATAAATACATCACTAGAGCCACAATGGTTTTTAAAAAAGTTTGAAAGATAGTGTGACTGAACATGAAGAAAACAATTACACTCATTTAAAAATTCAATATTTTGCATCAAACATTCAGAGTTTCTAGGAAATCAGAAACATTGAATATGAAATATAAAATGACTTGTGTTGTGGTAATAATTAAACTGGGTAGGTCAATGACATAAAAGCAATATTCTATTTGGCCTAACCGCAGTAAGAAATGTTTAGGTGCCTCCTGTTCATGTGATAAGACATAGGGATTGAGCACAGGGTATTTTATCAAAGTATTTCATGCAATATCATGAGATAACCTTTAGAATGTGGTCAGGGTCATGCAGGGCTGTATTTAACAAGGCAACCCTTCTCAGTGACTATGCATATTTTGTGGTATGTGACATTTGATTCTTGACCCTTACAGAATACAGGAATGATAATATTTTGTGCCATTCCACTAAAATGTACCTGGAATGGTGATAAGAAAAATATCAATGAAATTATCCAAATTTCACATACCCGGTAAACAAGAGGCCCACAGAACCATGGAAAACCCATCAAAAGAAGCCCACTCTTTTATCTAATGCTGTAGCATAAGCTAACAAATATAAACACCTTTTCAATAATGTTCATTTGAGAAGTAAAACAGGTAAAAATGTAAAATAAGTCACCCGACTCAGATCAGCCCTGGTGAGCCATACAACATTCATTATACTGGGCAGGAATTGCATAAACTTACCTGATTGCGGGTGAATGTTGAGCTCTTCTTTATACCATTGAGTGCAGCTTTCAGTAGCTTGGTCTCAGGATGTGACAACAATGCCACCAGAATCTCTGCGTTGCTGCGGGACAAGATGCCTGGGGAATTCTGGGATACCAGGATGGCCATAGATATATCTTCCTCTTCGTAACGGCCAACCTCCCATACCTCATCTTCTTCCTCGTAGCTACCTGCTACTAGACCATTAGTCTCTGTTTCCATCGACTCCTCACCTTGTCCTTTCTCTGATGACCTTTGACCCTGATCTGTAATGACTTTTTCTAACCCATGACCCTGTTGTGTATTGACCTCTGATGCTAATTGATTTTGGGAAGGCATGTCACTTGTAACTTTATTCCCTTCACTGGGCTGTATCATTGGCTCTGCACACACAGTCCTACTTACAGATTCAACTATAACACTTGATTCCTGCTCAGGTTTCACACATTGTAAGGTATCTTTCACCTCTTTTTGTTGGCATGTTTCTTTCCTGTCAATTACAGTATTTTCTGGTTTTGCCACTTTGCCATTTTCCTCTGTACCCTTTTCAGGTTCAGTGCGCCCTTCAAAAAACTCTGTTAGGGATTTAGTCATATCCTCAGCCAAAGGATCAAATCTGACCTTTTGTTTGGCCTTTGTAGTTTTCCATGGCTCCTTCACAAGTCTACACATTCCATCTTCACAGACATAATTATCAGAACCACTGCCGTCCCCTGCTCCTGTTACATCACCATCAGCCTGGCCAGCAGAGACTCCCTGATTAGGAGTGACTGACTTCCTGGGGAAGAAAGCATCTCCCGATGCAGAAACTGTTGTATCTTTTTCCACCGATGGCTTTACAACACCACCAGGAGTTGATGGTATGGCATCCTTGGGTTTTCCTGTTTGTAAAACATTTAGATGTAAGTCATGGATAATGTCATTAAAGTTGTGTTCCCAATCTGGGCCAGGCCTTGCACACAACATTTCACCCCTATATACATGTTTCCTTTGAATTGTGACTGGTGTGATTTTCTCGCTGCTTAAATTCCCTATTTTCAATTTAGTGGTTACAACTATTTCTTCTAATTCAGTCATTCTGCGATGAAAGTCCATTGTCTGCTTTAGTTTGTCTTTTAAAACCTTTCTCATTGTTTCTTGGTCATCCTTTTTAGAACTGAACTTCATGGTAACCACGGATGTGCCTCTGTCTGAAGTGGGTTTCACTTCAGATCCTGGTTCCACACACAAAGGTTCAGTAAAACCTTTGTTTCCTTTAATGCGAGATTACAATAAAAGTATGTCTATTTGTTATTTCTAACCAGGAGCTACAGCACAAACTTTCAACCCAAAATTAACTGATTTGCAACTATAAAAAATGTTATAAATAGCAAAGCAAGTCAAACTGTCCTACATGTATAACACCCTAGAAGATATTTTTCAAAAAAATGGTTTACTAGTCTGTGCACAAATAACTTAGACTCAGTCAACAACTAGAAAATCACACCAGCAAGGCAATGCATATTTTGCTTAAATATTTTTAATAGTTCTTTATTTGTGTTTTGGGACTGGAACACATGCTCAAAGTTCACACCTTTGAGAAAAGCTGTTTTTTTAGGTATATGTACTAAATTTGTAGAGAAAAAAACCCAGAAACACTGGCAACTCAAAACTTGCCAACATTATACCAGTTTCAGTAACTTTCATTAAGGCCATACATTTTCTTGTTTTTTTCTTCTTCTTTTCTTTCTTTTGTGACAGAGCTTTAACTATTTAGACCATATTCTCCATCAATGACAGGAAAAGTACTGAATTGGAGTATTTGTAAGTATACTTTGCCTATCATAAAAAAGTTATTACACATATCATCAATGACACAGAGTTTCTGTTTACTTCTAAAGCACACTTTTACTACCATGCAACTGAATAAGGCGATAATCCAATCTTGAAGGTCAAACAGTTTGCTAATGAAATCATCTTCCACAGAAAAACCATGAAGTAAATTTATATCTAAAAGGGGAGGCCCCGGAGGGTTTGAACTGATCAGGAACTATATATTTTAATGGCACCTATTTTTATACCTGTCATTAGAAAGGAAACATACAACAGTTCTAGAACTAACATTGGATTTCCTTACTTTATCAGGGGAGGTAATTAACTACTCAGGGGAGGTAATGAATGTTTTAGACACAGGTTAGGTTTCACATTACCAATAAAGAGAGGACATGGTAGAAATGGAGTAGCCAAAATAAGATTGTTGAGAAATTTTACACATGTTTTCTTTTATTTAATAATATTTCTATAAAAAAGTTGTTCTGAAAATGACAGAAGTTGACACCTCACCTGTAAATTTTAGTTTTTCTGTTCATAAATATAATGTATGGGTCAAAGAAGTAATATCGCCAGTAAAATCCTGTGACTACAGTTTTTAAATATTAGTTACAGCTTTGTTATATCCTATGATATGTCTTCTTTTTTCTTACATAATTAAGTGTCTTGTGTGTTTTACTGGTATCCTGTTTTACTGTGTCTTGATAAAACCTCGCAGATCTCTCTGAAAATTTGACAACCATATAATATTGTCTACACCATTGGAATTACTTCCTTGCCCAATATACATTCAAATGCTCAGGTATGTTTGCTTAAAACTTATGATATCTATACCAAATTGAATTGTGAATGGATTGGGCCTTTATTGGCTTTTAACCAAATTAGCTGCTGATATCATCAAGCACGGTTATTCTCAACATGAACAATATACTTATAATATATGCATTGGAAATACTGTATCGATTATGAAAAAAAGAACTGGGTTTGAAGAATCAGTGTTATTTCAACTCGAATAGCAATTTTGACAGCAGCATTTTCCCCCGGTAATATATCCTCAGGTTACCGGTTTCCGCGCACTTAAAGAAGCATCCGCGAACAGATGACTGTCATAAACACGTATACAATCTACTAATGGAAACAAAATACTAGTAACATAAAACTGTATTAAAAAAAAATTCAGAACAAACAATTTTTAACAAATTTCTCCGATAGGAAGTAGCCGCCATATGTTTCCGTGTGTCTATTTTGATTTGGTGTTCAAAGAAAGATAACTCGAATACACTAAAAAGATATTCTATGCAGTGATCTGCAAGAACAAAAGCTTCGTTTGGAATAAAAAAAAATGATCATCAAATTAATTATCAAAACATTTTTTTTTAAATTTCGCATTTTTAGTTGATTTTTCAAGATGTCAAATTGAACGAATTCATGTAATTTTATAAATTTATTTATTATATTTATTTAGTTATAATATATATATAGAATCTGTTATTATTTTTTGTCTGATGTCTTATATATATCGGTTTTGGTTGATGGTAAGTTATTTCTCATTTTGTTCTGTTTAAAATTGGTGAAAATTGGAAGTTCATTGCATTACAAGGTTTACGTTTCATTGAAAACACTGTTTATCGATATAAGAATGTCTCTTTGGCTCTTCGGAAGTGGAAAAAAATTGGCGAGGAGATGTGACCTCATTTGCATGCAACATTTTCGTACGTTTGTCAGACTACAAAAAAGACTGGTTCATGAATGAAATGTATCACCGTTTTTTCAGGTATGGGTTCATTTTGAGAAAGATAAAAAGTGCATTAAGCAAAACTGCATATTTATGCGGTTTTTTTAATCAGTGATTAATTCTTATGTTTTCCGGACGAACTTCCGGTAATTTTTGTCTCAGTTTACAGACGATGGCCAAACGTCTAAAAGATCCTTGTGTTGTGTCCAGCAGGTCACGTAGTTACGAGATATAGCTTGATAAAATGACTGCGCGGAAATACATAACGCGCGGAAACTGATGACTAGACGATACAGATATACATTGATACAACCTTATTTTAAATAGCCTATGGTCTGACTGTCCATCATCATAAAGATTATTTTGTTGATTTTGTACCTTCATTAAGTGACAACACATGTACTTCACTGTATACTACGAACTTATTTGACTAAAGTTTCTGACTACACAATAACATCATGCATCATTCGTGTTTTGATTGTGGTCTTCGGCGATTCAGATTTGACATTATTCAGAAGTATGCCAACGTTGAAGTCGTGACTTATAGAAAGAAAAATAGTTTATCAACCTCTTTTCTTCTTCCTCCATAAGATGAAAGATACTATCACAATCCCAACAGCGATCACTGTACCCGCTCCCACACGTGTAGCCAAGGTCGAAGCCATCTTCTTTTGTCGTCTGCAGATGTCGTGAAATTGAAAGTAATCATACATAAATATACAATACTTCGCCGAAGTGAATTTAAAATACACAGAGCAATTATTATCATAAGATATTATAAAAATATTTCAAACCGTTATTATCAACATTATTGGCTGTGAAATATATTCGTTGCCGTAAAATCCTGGTGCCAAATGTTTTACCACAAACAGACGACTTCCTGTGTTTAACATGTGTGAACCATGAAAGTCAAACACAACCTTCATTCATTTTAAACGTGTGTTTATTGTCGTACACAAGTTGTGCAATCTTCGATGTAGCTCCTTATTTAGTTTATTGTTTACCAAAAGACTTCATTTTCCAAAATGCCGTTCTTGAAAGGAAGGGCTGCCATGCGGCGCACGATGCGATACCTGGAGTCGAAACCGTTGTTTCTGAAGGATGAAGTGAGGGTCTTGACTGTGCACTATAACAACGGACAGCCTGCAAGCAAAGGCGCATAGTATGTAATTTTACCGTCATTCATGCACAGTCAGTGATATTGTCACAATGAATCCTGAGTTTGTTCACTTACTACATTGTATATAATATATAAATCATGATCTGGTTTAGTACTAATAGTATATACCCGGCCAAAATCACAGGTGCTCGGGTTGGGTGCGATAATATTTAGAGATTATTATATGACCATTTTGATATCACACCCCAGAGTCCTGATATCAGCCAAAGGGCCGAAGGCCCGAGAGTCCTGCAGGTCCAGTACACTCTGCCGATTGAGCTATATAGCTATAAAGACCTATATAGCTATATACACCTATAAATTATAGCTGTATTGAGCTATATTTTCTCAGATTTCAAATTTCATTAAATTAAAGCAAAGTCGCATAAAACAATAAGGTTAATGGTAATGTTGACTACAAAAAGCATACATTTAGATGTTTTTATTTTCATTTTTCATAAATGTAAAATTTCTGATTTCTTTACATCATTATTTTTTAAAAAGAATACTTATATTTAATGTCTTTTGTTATCAACCTAATGATACAATCTTCTTTTACATGCGACTTTGTTCCGTTTTCCTTAAAAAAGAAAATTACTTGAAAATAGCTCAAAAGACCTATTTCAGATAGGTCAATAGAGCTATTATAGGTCTTTACAGCTATATAGCTCAATCGGCAGAGTGTACTGGACCTGTCCTGGTATCAGCCAAAGGGCCGAGGGCTGATAATAGGACTTGAGGGCTGATTGGGGGTGTGATATCAAAATGGTAATATCAAAAACTTTTTATCAAATGTTATTTTCCTTTAAAATACACAAAAAAATATATAAACATTGTATTGTATAAACATGTATATAAACAAAACAATAACAATTATACGTAAAATAAAATCAACATTTAGAATTCCTGAATTCCTACATGGTTATTGAAATTTGGGTGGGGCTTTGTAAATCAATCTTTAAATTATTTTCCATGAAACCGCAGTTATTCCATGCCAACGATTCGTTTGTTTACATTAAAAGTAGACAGCATTAAGCGGAAGCGACAAAATCCGGAAGTTTGGGAGGGGGTGTGATATCACTTTTTTAGGGTGGGGGTGTGATATCACTTTCAAGGGGGTGTGATATCACTCCAAGGGTGTGTGATATAACACGGGCTGATATCAACTTGTGGACATTTTAGACTTATAACACATACAAAATGGGTGTTATTATTAGTAAACATATGATAAATCACATAAATACCAGAACCTGAGTACCTGTGACTGGACTGAGTCGATCTCCAGCGACCAGGTAGCTCAATTTGTAGAGCCCTCGTCTAGAGTTCTGAGGATCCCAGGTTCGCGACGGGGAATGGCCGTTGCATTTTTTTCTCTCTTATTACTAAAAATTGACAAGCTTGCCCACCCTTGTAACAAGCACTGGGTGAAACTTCCAAGGGGGTACCTGAACTTGGTTGTACATATATAGTGTTGGATTAGGGGGCGAAGAAAAAGGAGAGATGAATGTTGCAGAACAGGACTGGGTGCATCGTTGTTGACCAGGAAGCTTGTGCCATCATGATTAAATGGTAGAGTGTCCATCTAGAGTTCAGAGCGTCCTGGGTTAAAACCCCAGTATGGCCGTTACATTTCACTTTTTCCTGTTACATTGGTAATCCTTAATTTGGGTAACAGTTACTGTTAAATATTTACAGTAACAGATTTTTTACTGAAATCGGGAATTAAGTAAAATACACAAATTCCTTTCAATCATACGGAACAAGGGAACCATTTTTCAACATAATCATAAATAATAGACATGACAGGTAAACTAATTTCAATTCTTGCAAGTAAGGAGAAGTTACCTTCAAGTCATTAGCTATAAAAAGGTAACATATGAATGCTTGTCAAAGTATTTTGCATGTTACCCTATACAATGTATTTTCATTAAAAGAGAAAAACCTTGGCCAAAAAATGCTCAAGAAATTCCTTGACTTAACATTTTTCCAAAGACTTATTGGAGTGGAAAAATTAGGGATGGGTGTTGCTGAGAGACAGAGCCAATATATGGAAATAGTTGTGGTATCATATTCAATAGGAATATTTTCCCATGGTTGCTTTATTATCCAGGTGAACAATACAGGCCCTCTGGGCTAGATGAGTCCAAAATCAAATATTTAGAAATAACTGTTACTCCACAGCAAACTTTAATAACAGTAATTGATGGAAAAAAAACATAAGATTGCATCATTATTCTGTCCAGTAACATGTAGTAATCAGCTGACTGCAGTAGGAAATACTGTAGACTGGGAACTTTTCGCCATGATTTAACTTTCGCCCTCCATCTTAAGGGTGAAATTTTCCTGACAGTGAAAATATGTCCACAACATGCCATACATAGGATAACATGTCAAGGGCAAAATTAACACGGAGCGAAAATGGATTCTTACCAGTGGAGGACGAACATTTGACTGAGCGAAAGTTTCCTGGTATAAAGTAGACAAAATCTTAACAACTCCGGCTTATGTAAAGGTATAGAGACATAGAATAATTTGGTGTATATTTGTTGACATCAATGCTTTATTTCGTATTTACAGTGATTTTGTATTTTGGCATCTACCACAACTGCAGTATTGTAATCCCCGTGTTCAGATAGTCACCTTTAAGAACCTGACACCATCACCATTCTTTCAGTTTTACTTCGGTGAGTAAATAAGAAACCACAGATTGTATTGTGGGTTAATATCAATATTATCTGATTGTGTGGTGTGTTAATTAATATCAATATTATCTGGTTGTGTTGTGGGTTAAGTGATATCAATATTATCTGTTTGTGTTGTGGGTTGATATCAATATTATCAGACTGTTGTGGGTTAATAGCAATATTATCTGATTGGGTTGTGGGGTAATATCAACATTATCAGATTGTGTTGTGCGTTAATATCAATATTCTCTGATTGTGTTGTGTGTTAATTTTAATAATATCTTATTGTGTTTTGGGTTAATATCAATATTATCTGATTGTGTTGTGGGTTAAAATCAATATTATCAGATTGTGTTGTGGGTTGATATCAATATTATCAGATTGTGTTGTGGGTTAATATCAATATTATCTGATTGTGTTGTGGGTTAAGTAATATCAATATTATCTGATTGTGTTGTGGGTTAATATCAATATTATCAGATTGTGTTGTGGGTTAATATCAACATTATCAGATTGTGTTGTGGGTTAATATCAATATTATCTGATTGTGTTGTGGGTTAATATCAATATTATCTGATTGTGTTGTGGGTTAATATCAATATTATCTGATCAGCAAAAGTTAAGGGATATTGGTTCAGTTTTAGGAATAGTCACTCACTTAACTATACATTTTTACCAAATTGGTAAGTCAATGAACAATATGTATTAGTGCAGTGCATCCATTTGGTCAAGTTCACAAATGAGTTTTATGAGATCATGAGGGAAGTTATGAACAGTTTTTGCAATATTCAGATTTTTGTTTAATTTGAATGGAATTTGTAATAAATTGCTCACAATTTTTTTATCTTCAAAGGAAACGGAGAAAAGATGTTAGTGGACCTAGATTCTGTGCCCCGTGATGCTATAATGAGCCACCTGCAAAATACCATATGTAAATCAAGGTATGTTCCTTTATGAGCGAAAATGCGTTCACCAAACTTGCTATGCGTATATGCATCTTTGGAGGACAGAGTGTTGCATTACTGAAATTGGGTCTGGCATCCAATAAGGTTAGGATTTACACTCCTTTGTTCAGTTTTGATATGTAAGTTTGTCTGCAACATAACTTTGTAGAGCTCTGTATCACATACATTCACCAAATTATCTATTGTTTGTAGGTTCCTATAGCACGACCATTAAAATGTATATGAGTGACATTTTTATGACTAATACGTTATGTACTCTGTTACCTTCATCAGATGAGTGACCAGTAAGGTGAAGGTACTTTAAGAAGTTAAATATAAACAAGTTGGCAATAGAATTGATATTGATACTTCCTTACACAAAACTACTTCGGTTATCAGAATATCGTTGCAAAAAAGTTAGTAGATGAGTTGTAATCATCGATGTCAGACTTTTTATTAATACATCAGGAATGTTTAATGACAGATCTTTTGAAGTTTTGATACACCAAGTTTTCCACAAATAGCAATTCTAAAGCAGTGAGCAAATTATATTTTGTTCATGAAAATTTGGAATATGGGGAAGGAAGGCAATCAATCTCTATACTTTGATACATTTTTAGCTCACCAGGTGGCGTCCGTCCGTCGTCTGTACGTCAACAATTTCTTCAAACGACTTCTTCTTCTTAACCGCATGTTAGAACTTAACTAAATTTGACTGGAAGTATCCCTAGGTGGTGGGGATTCAAAACTGTACAAATGGTGTGGCTGACCCTCCAGGGGCTGAGGGGTGGGCCAAAAGGGGGCAATTTGGCTATATTGCTATAAGTGACTTCTGTAGAACTAAAAAATGGATGTCAACCATATTTGACTGGAAGCATCTGTATGAAGTGGGGATTCAAAATTGTACAAATGGTGGAGCTGACGCCCCAGGGGGCCGAGAGGCGGGCCAAAGGGGGGAGATTTGGCTATATTGCTATAAATGACTTCTTCTGTAGAACTGTGCACTGGATATCAATTATATTTGGTCAGAACCATTCATGAGAGGCAGGGATTCAAAATTGAACAAATGGTAGGGCTGACCCCCCTGGGCTAAGGGGTGGGGCCAAAAATAGTTCATTACTTGGAAATGGTTGAGATCCCCACTCTATAACCATATATACAATTGCTGAGTATAAAGAGAAGAATGCACATATGCTTCCAGGATACCCCTGGAGTCTGGCCCCACTCTTGGAGACATAGTCCCTGGTTCATAACTTTGAAATGGTTGAGATCCCCACCCAAAAACTATATATACAAATACTGGTCATAAAGAGACAAATGCAGTCATGATATTATACTTAATCTTGGGGTCTGGCCACAACCCTAGGGACCTAGTTTCTGAGTCACAGTTTGGAAACAGTTGAGATCCGGACCCCATAACCATCCATAAAATTGCTGGGTATGAAAATTCTAATACATGCACAGATATGCTACAAGGATTGGCCTAGGGGTCTGGCGTCTGGCCCATTCCCTTGGGTCTTATTTGGAGAATATTTTGCCATGATTGCTAAGATATCCAGGTGAGCATTACAGGCCCTCTTGGCCTCTTGTCTTACAAGCTATCGTAATGGTTGAAATGGATGCAGCATGGCACGATCATGTCTCTATGGTTCATAATTATATAAATATCCTCCATAACAAGAAGGACATCAGAATAGTAATGTATAAATCAGTCATTGCATTGTTAGTGGTACATCTGCTTAGTTGGTTTTTAGCTGGTGGGTGAAGCCGAGCATCTTATGCTATAATGCCTAGGGATTCTTTTTTATAAGATAACTGGAAAATTTTGGATCAGTTTGGGTTCATTCATCTACTGTAAATCTTGTCAAGTGGGGTTAAGACAGATCTCTATTGATTTTAAAAGTTGAGTAATAAACTGTTGATTTTTAAGTCATTTTGAAACATGTCTTCAATTTATTTGTACAAATGTGTACATGTATATATACAGCTGTGCTAAAAATAATGTCAACAGCAAGGTGTATCAAGTTAAAAGTACGGTATCAATCCTACAGTGCAACTACTCAAACTGAATTGATAACCTCAGACTGTGTTCCCGATAATACCAATATACACAAATTGCATCATATCTCTTCATTTAAATCTGGTGAAAATTAACAGTGATACTCGGACTACAGATGAAGTTCGTCGATTAGTTGGCCTGTTGTTACAATGGCAACACAAATGTAAGGTGATGTACAATGATGACCTCTGTTTTTTCAGTGCTATTATGGCGAAAGCATGGAAGGAGTTGCAAGCGAAAGACAACCAAGCTAACTTTGGCTACTCGTGTTCACGCTGGTGTATCTGTGAGATGCCTGGTCAGGTTCCCTGCTCCGGCGTAGTAGAGCTCCCAAAAGAAATGCGTGGCAAGTACAGGGTTTCGAAGAAGGAGGAAAAGGAGCTGTAGGATCAACACGAGAAATGATGTGGAAGATGTGTTTTAATTTTCAATGATTTTGTATTCCATGAGGAAGAACGTAGTCATGTGGGTTATTGGATGTGAAGATTCTTGACTGATGCGACAGCTGTATTTGAATTTTAGAGATATTGACATTATTGTTGCAGTACTGTGACCGTCAATCAGATATTGTGTTATGCAAGTGTTCCATTTACCTGAACTTTAACAATACATCAATCGACTGAAATATTGTGCTATTTCTTCATATTTGAATATTGTGATACAAGATACTATCAAAAGCATCATATTACTATTGATATACATAAACTTAAAACTACTAGCAAGTATGCGAGTGACAGAAACTCTACTAGTACTGATGATAAAAAAATGTTCTTGGATTAAATTCGCGGAGAAAGATAAACACATGTACATCAGGATACCTATTTCATAGAGTTAGTGTATTACCCCGGTTTTAGTAGATCCCTATATAATCTCTCGCTCATAGACAGAGCAACGATCATCAAGAGGTAAATTGTTACTTGTTTGAAATATTCCCAATAGCTGTCAAATGCATGTTTTTTTGTATGTGTGTTTTCACCACATTTCATAGTTCGAAACTGGGAATTATTTGACAGTAACTTACATTGCCCTTTGTAATAATATTATTATTGGACCTTGTAAACACGATAACTTGAATAAATGTTGATGGAGTTCAATGAAACTTTGTCCGGTAAATATTTGACGGTAACCTGCAGACTTATTGCGCTTTGTCGTTATATTATTATTTGTCCCTGTGATGTTGATTGACATTACAAAAGAATAGATGTAAATTCATGTGGTACACCTTTCTTTTCCTTCATGACACATTTTTGCTACTAACAAGGTGCTATTAAAATTTTGTGCCTTATTTAATAAATCATTGATTTACGCTTTTACTTGTTTCTTTTAACCAAGAACAGAAGACATACAGTAATACCAAGTTTGTTCAAAACAGACCCCTTGGGTCAAAATTGGAGTCACACCCATTTATTTCAGTTATCGTGTTCACAGGGTCCAACAATAATAGAATTACCATGGGGAATAACTATGTTATAGTCAAATTGGTCCAGTATTCAAACTCATCCAAGATCTCATTGATACAAAGCTGCATACAAAGTTTCATCAAAATCAGTTCATATTTACTGAAGTTATTGTGTTCACAAGGAATAATTAATGGACGATGCAGCAAGGTCACTCGGACCAAGAAAAGTATGAATTGGCCCCTGGATGACAGTCCTAATTTGAATCGGATGTCAGGTGACCGTAAAGGCCCATTGGCCTCTTGTTAAAAATCTTCTCAAGAATCAGAAGTGCCACAGGTTTGTTGTTTTGCATGCATGATGCCTTGGGGATATATATTCAAGTTTGTTAAAATCAAGTCCCTTGGGCCATAGAAGGGGCAACAATGGAGGCTTTTGATTGGTCATAATTTAGAAATGTAGAAAAATGTAGTCGGATTTTGTTGAAAATTGGTTTGTAGAGGTAATTGGGTACACTGAATTTAACGATGGGTGTTTCGAAAAAGTTTGTTGTCATGGTGACTAAGTGATGGCCTTTGCTTGGTCAAAATTTAGATATTATACAATATTTCCCTGAATTTGGCATTTATGGGTATTTGACTAACAGGAACTTAATGGCAAATGATCATTTGCCATTGAAACCAAAATTTCGGGGTCTTCCCATGTTAAATGCATACTTGCCAGGTTACCGTTAAGGCCCATGGGCCTCTTTTTTTTTTATTAACAATTGTTTATTGTAGCTTGAGACGGGTTTGAAGTTGTTTTTATCCTATTTTCCTCAATGTTTTATTCCTTATGAACCACACCCTGCAGTGGATTTTTTTCAAACTTTGTGTGTAGCACAAATACCTAATGAAGTTGAGCCCCTTTACAACAAATATTTATTTTTACACCTTTCAGGATTAGCTATGCCCCTTTTTGTAGAAAAGGTTGACTTTGTTTGGCTATGCATTCATTCATTTTCCAGCAAATGTTTTTTCAAACTTTGTGCTACATGATGAAAAAGTAAACCTTTTTAATTTTGACACCTGGAATCAGCTTGTCCATCCATCGGACATGATTTTGATAAATATTCAATGTGGCTATGTGTACGCTCATTTTTCAAAATTTGTGCGTAGCATTATTTCTTAATGTAGTTGTGCCTCCCTAAAGCATTTGATTTTGTTATGCCCCGGCATAAAATGGGGGTTGGGGGATGCATATAGTGTTGCCGTGTTGTCCATCCTGATCCAATGTAAACACTTACCAACTTCATTCTTTCAAGGAATTTTGTCAAGGTCGAGTATACCTCAGACACCTTTGAGTTTCAGGGTTCCACCATCAAGGTCATGGTTGCTATATTTAGAAAATCATCCACCGATTCACTCTTAATAGATTTTGATGAAAGTTTATACACAGAATACCCGGGACATCGTGTTTGTGTTTCAGGGTTCAAAGGTCAAGGCAAACATATTTCAGGGTATCAAGATCAAAGTGGTCGTTACTATTGAAGTTGAAATACTTTGGCCCAGGGATGCTCCATGCCAAATTTGGTCAATTTCTCTTCACTTGTACATAAGGGGTTGTTTTTTTCATTAAATAGTTGGACACAGTTGCTCTAAAAGAACAAATACAACAGAACCACGTTTGGTAGTAAATATTATAATTTATTGCACATATTAACATTCCTTGCAAAATGGTTTTGTACATGAAGGATGTGTAATGGTATCACTGTCCTACACCTGTTAATATTTGAGGGAAAATTTGGGGTTGGGAAGGGGAGGGTCATACATTTTTTGGCTTTACGATTTACATTCCATACAATCACACACTTTTGGTAAAAAATATATTACCCCTGAATATAAAATGTACCATGGAAATTACTTGTATAACCATCCAACCATTCACAAACTTCCACCATCTTTTGTGTGGGAAAGCACTCGTCAAAAAAGAAGGAAAAAAAAGACAATAAAACCCTGAATTCCCCATCGTGACAATTTAAAAAGCATTGAAATCCCCCGTATATAAAATATGTTGAGATAGTTTTAGTAATTTCACAATCTGGATCTGGCTTGGATAAAAAAGAGAGACTCGTATCCAGATTTAAAGTTGCCAAAAATATTGCTTACTGGTAAATACAACCTGCCTAAACAATGATTAATCAATAAGACGGTATTTCTCTGGTGTTTTCCCATTGATGTATTAAAAAGATATACTGGTAATATTAGGTGACGTCTAATGTAAAACAGAATGAATTGATTGATTTTCAACATACGGCACATAACATATTAATTCTGTGTTCAAAATATATTGCAGAAATTTGGTTATAGTTTTATTGTTAGTAGTGAGTTTGATGTTGAGGATCTTCAATAATTCAAATAGAAAACCATAAATTGATAAAAAATAAAAAGGACAAGAAATTACTGCTGCGGAATACAGATTTCCAAGTCAATGGACACCATACATATGTAACTACATATCATGGGGAAAACATCAAGAAAAATACCAAAATAGCAGATAGGCACATATTTGGGAGATATTTAAGGTATTTTTGATGCTGTAAGTAGTAGTCTGGGTTGTGTGAAGTTATTCAATGGGCGGGACAATGTCACATGATCTGTATGTTGGGCATGATCAATCACTAACAGCTATCTCCGTACAATGTGAAGAAGGCCTGCATAAAAAGTACACCACAATAGTAAAGAGATATTGGCTACATAAATCTCTAACTGAAATATCTTAGTAAAACTTTCATAGTTATCTGCTGTCGAGTATAACATTAAATATTAAAAAAAGCATATACACCTCAAAAATTTAAAGAAAACATTTTGATTTACATCTCCTTGCCTACAGCACTAGTTCAAATACATTCAAATTGACTGGAAAGGAGGGGTTGGAAAGCATGGTTTATACAAATTCAATAAGTGTTTCCATATGGGAAAAACACTATTTAATATTATGAAATGTGTTTATTTATCTCACATTACTTCTCAAAAGTCTAGACACACACAGACACATGCATACCTTTTGTAAACAACTGAGCTTTGGGCTTTAAAAATTGTATATTATGGAGATATCAATACATAAAAAAAAACGTGGCTTTTTGGTCCTGTGAGACTCGCTTGGTTACAATAGTGATTATCACAGCAAGGGAAATTTGTAGATTCATACTTGTCACATTTGTCATGTCTCCCTCTATGGCCAAGGAGTGACTCGCAACACAGATTATCTTGGCCACTACTTGGTTGTCATGGTATTGACAGACAGGTAACCATGAAGACAGCATACCCGATATTTTGGGTATCATTACAGGCCAGCCACGCTAGGTTGACATTTTATCAATATATATATACACAGGCAATGGAATGAACTTGTAAGGATCTTGACACAACTGTGGCAAGTTACAAAACAAGGATAAAAATGCAAACATTCTATGATATAATACAATGAATTCAAGGTCGACATCATCCAAAGGGGAAGGTAACCAAGTACATGTATATATATACAAAATACAGGCTTACTGAAACATTTCCCTCACAAGATTCCAACCTCTTAAATACTTAGATGAGTCGAAGATTAGTCCGAGATATTTCTCAGAAAATTATTTTTGGCAAGAACTAAAATAATTTTTTATTTTGAAAACATGATAGATAAAAAGTATTTAGAGTAGGAAAATAAGTGTATTGATTAGAAAAAGGAAGTGAATGCTGCTCTTAAAGGAGATCTATATTCTATACATCAGAGATATACAGTACCTGTACAGCTCCTAACTACGGGCAAACCAGAGCACCCTTATTTACAGACAGATCATGTGGAACTCCAGGGCACCCTTATCTACAGACAGATCATGTGGAACTCCAGGGCACCCTATCTTCTGGACAAATGGTGTATAACTCCAGATCACACTTATGTATAGTCAGAATTAATGTTGCACACTGGACCACCCTACTATGTAGACTGATAGTGTGGCACACTGGAGCACCCCAGTATGTAGACAGATAATGTGGCACACTGGAGCACCCCACTATGAAGTCAGATAATGTGGCACACTGGACCACCCCACTATGTTGTCAGATAATGTGGCACTCCAGAGCATCTATCTATAGAATGATGTGTCACTCTGGAGCACCTCAATATCTACAGAATGATGTGTCACTCTGGAGCACCCCAATATCTAGAGAATGATGTGTCACTCTGGAGCACGTCAATATCTACAGAATGATGTGGCCCTCTGGAGCACCCCAAAATCTAGAGAATGATGTGGCACTCCGGAGCACCTCAATATCGAGAGAATGATGTGTCACTCTGTAGCACCTCAATATCTAGAGAATGATGTGGCACTCTGGAGCACCCCAATATCTAAAGAATGATGTGGCACTCTGGAGCACCTCAATATCTACAGATAATGTGGCACTCTGGAGCACCTCAATATCTAGAGAATGATGTGTCACTCTGGAGTACCTCAATATCTAAAGAATGATGTGGCACTCTTGAGGACCTCAATATTTACAGAATGATGTGAAACCTGCAAGCACCTCAATATCTACAAATTGATGCGTCACTCTGGAGCACCCCAATATCTAGAGAATGATGTGGCACTCTGGAGCACCCCAATATCTAGAGAATGATGTGTCACTCTTGAGTACCTCAATATTTACAGAATGATGTGAAACCTGCAAGCACCTCAATATCTACAAATTGATGCGTCACTCTGGAGCACCCCAATATCTACAGAATGATGTGGCACTCTGCAGCACCTCAATATCTACAGAATGATGTGGCACTCTGGAGCACCTCAATATCTACAGAATGATGTGGCACTCTGCAGCACCTCAATATCTAGAGAATGATGTGGCACTCTGGAGCACCCCAATATCTAGAGAATGATGTGGCACTCTGCAGCACCTCAATATCTACAGAATGATGTGGCACTCTGGAGCACCTCAATATCTACAGAATGATGTGGCACTCTGGAGCACCCCAATATCTACAGAGTGATGATGTGGCACACCAGAACACCACACTATCTAACGACAGAGGATGTGAGTTACAGCTATGAGGCCACACAAGCACCATCATACCTTGTGGTATGTTATAAAAAACATGAGTAAAGCGTTAACAAACATGATTGACGGGTAATGAAACGATTTCAATGGTACTGATTAGAAACAGTATTTACACGTTAGTAGGAGATGCATACAGTCTCCCAGCTATGCCACACGCACACAGCTTTCATAAAGTTACATGGCCACATCCGAGGCCCCACTCTCGCACACACATGGCCATCACCGACCAACCTAAGGAAACGCCAGGGAAAAGACATGTAATGCATAGGTCATGGCAAACACATTTTTTTTCTTGACAACAACATTCATTTGTAGTTTTCTTCCTTGTACCAATCCATAAATTAAAGAGTTAAATTACATACACCATTTTGAGATGGTGAGATTTTAACACGACATTAAAAAATTGTAGTAACATGTCAAGTCTCCTTAAATGCCAGTTTTAACCACTACAGAAATAGATTCTATTACTGCAATGCTACAGTGCATCTCGGTATACAGGAAAACAAAAACTCCAGGGTTACTTCACAAACAATAGTGATTAGGCTTAAATTAAAACTAAAACATAGTACTGGACATGTAAAAACAATACAATAAACCTATGTCACCCAGTCAGAGACCGCTACACACAAAATACACTACATGTATATATATTACAGATTCTTACAAACTTTGAGCAAATGGAGGGGCAAAATACAACAGAGAAAAACAACCTATCTTTGTAAAAAATTACAACAAAGAAAAAAACCCCACTATTTTTCTACACAACCAAAACATCACAATCAGGAAACACCTGTACTATAAAAAATCTGAACACGCAAGTTGCTAGGCAGTGTTTAAGCCAAAAAAGTAGGGACACAAAGGGGAGGTAATCATATATGATGCCATGGACAAGGTGCTTTTTGTCGCTATGTGGTCTTGGGTGTTTGCTTATACACGTATAAAGAAAATTTTGTTTTATATTAGTTTCAATTACTGTTTACATGATTACAGATTACGTCTACGTCAAGTTACCAGATAATAAGTTATCGTAATTTTGTGCTTAAACAGCACTATAATGTTGTGTCATTTTCCACTCCCAAACAACAACATATTGACTGAAATAGCAAGCTTCAAGGTCATCTCATTCTCCCCTAATGAAAATGCTATCTTTATAATACTTATATAAAATGATAAATTAAACGATTAAGACATTTTCTTTAAAACAAGGATAAATAAATTAAAAGCTTGACAATGACTTTGGAATGTGATTATTATATCTTTCTACTAAGACTCGCAGCAAGCCTTCCATGGCATTCCATACATAGGTATTGTGGTCTTGGTAACGTCGACAGTTTCAAGCGTGTATCCTTCTTTGGTCTATAAAATCTGTAGTCAGGTCTACAGCATGATGATAAGTCAGGACAAAACTTGAATAAAATTAGCTTAATTACGGGTCAGAATTTCAATGTAAAGGTGCTGAGAATTGAGTACATCACATTGTGATCAAGTAATGATCACTACTTGATCATATACTGTACACTCCAAACAAAATATCAATATTAGAATAAATATACAGATAAACTTTTATAATACAAAATCATTTTTATAACCTCAATAAACTTTAAAGTATTTGAAACGGAACAGTGAAGCATTGGCCTTCCACCTTTAATACAAATGTGTGTCTTGCATTGTGTCATATCTCTCTGAATACATTTGAATCTTCATATATTCTTAACTATATAAATTGTTTCCTGATTATATAAATGCCTATGTACATATAATTTGTGTAATCTACAAATAAAACAAGAAAGCAATGAAAATCTTACAGTACATTTATAAGATGTTCTACACAGAGAAATACTGAAGTTACGAGCCCTTAAAATTTAAAAAAAGAAAATTGAGATCTAGCAAATTTTGCTTTATTGCACTCCTAAGATGTTCCAGAAGCAGAAATGGATGAGCCATGTGTTGAGTATAGGAGAATCTCTGTGGGCAGACATTTTATCTACAGTCCAGCATATATTCTATCACACTTTTGGTATACGTAATGGACAGTTTCAATGGAGTTTTGATTTAGGCCCATTTATAAAGCTACAATGAAAATGCAACTCGACAACTTCCAGGATTCACTGTTAAATAGGGATTCACTGATAAATAATCAACAAGACACTAGTAATAGAAAGCTACACAATCACATGTTAAGGATCACCACGTAACATGTGTAGACAAATAGTATCATTAACAGTAAAATCTGTTTATAGACACCTGGCCTGGTGATTGGCTGACCTTTGACCTTGCACTGGTTGACCCTTGACATTGGACTTGCTGACCCCAAGTTATCACAGTAGACGATAAGGTGTGAGGACCCATGTGATACCGTCACAACACAAAACAGCGGGTTATCAACAGACAGTTTTGTATAAAAGAAACGGGAAAAAATAAAATTAAAATGGTCAACCAATCCAAATCTCCACTCTCACAATGCTTCAAACAATGACCTTTCAAAACAAAAGGAATAAATAAGAGAAAGTTAACAACCGTAGTTTGATGCTGTTGTACAGAATTTCTATGATTCCGTCCTTGATGGTACAAATGTTCATATTAAACATGTGACCATCTTTCAAAACATATGTCTATTCACATTAAACGTGTCTATTATTCACATTAAACATGTGGTTATCAATCACACTAACTGTGTGTCTATCCTTCACACAAAATGTGCGTCTTTTCAGTACTAGTCTTCTGGCTTGTAAAAACACTTCAGGGACAGGACACACAAGCCACAAGCCAGGGGGACACTCGCCATCACTACCAGAGTGAAGCTGTCACAGAATGCCACATATTGCATGGTACCCATGGAAACGCAACACACTTGTTCCCAAGCACCACCTCCAACTTCCTCCTCCATTGGTGGATGTGCTTGTCATTAAGAAATGGAGGTGAACTCCTGCTGATACAGCCTCCGAGTGTGCTTTTACCTTGGTCTCGTGACCTTGTGCTAACATGACGGTAGGTGACACGGTGGACTGTAGCATTAGCTACAGGCTTCCAGCCACAGACCCCACACGTCGTGGCTTTTAGGGATACACCCAATCAGCTGGGCAGCCTTACTTACAAATCTACTCACTTTCACTGTCACTTAATGTATCGGTCGGAGTTGTTTCTTCTGGCCTGGAAAAGGTAGATGATAAAATTAAGTCACAGGTTAATTTTGTTAGCATATCTCTGTCAAATTCATTAGCTTGAAAGGGAGTAAGGTATGATGATGATGTTGCAAGCTAAATTCATCTGCCTAAGGATGGTTGTTAGTTGGCTTTACAGGGAGTTAGGTATGATGATGTTGCGAGGTTAGTTCACCTATCCATAGTTGTTAGTCCACTTTACAGGGAGTTGGGTACAACGATCGATGTGTTGAGGTAAATCATCTCTCTACTGATGGCTGTTAGTCCAAGTTACAGGGAGTTAGGTATGATGATGTTGCGAGGTTAGTTCACATATCCATAGTTGTTAGTCCACTTTACAGGGAGTTGGGTACAACGATCGATGTGTTGAGGTAAATCATCTCTCTACTGATGGCTGTTAGTCCAATTTACAGGGAGTTAGGTACAACGATGTGTTGAGGTAAATCATCTCTCTACTGATGGCTGTTAGTCCAATTTACAGGGTGTTAAGTACAATGATGTTGCAAGGTTAATTCATCTGCCTACCGATGGACGTTATTCGGCTTTAGATGGTGAAAGTACAATGATGTTGCAAGATCTTGCGTTAGATCACTGTATTTCAATGATGCCATAAGATTATGGTGCACTGAGGACCAGAGAACGAAGTAAAGAAAAAAATATCACATGATGATAAGTGGTAAGGAATTCTTTCATAATGAAAAGGTATGAGTTCTATTCCTGATTTTGGATTAAATGACCCCATGTTAGAATGCATGGTGTGGAAAACAGTGGCGATGTTGAAATACACGGATATAGGGCACAGGTTACATATCCTGTGACACAACAGATAATAGCACATAAGGAATATAGTAAGGTAGAAGTCAAGTAACCGATTGTTTCTTAAACTAGCACAAAGACTCTTTCAAAGATATCTAAAAAGATGGAGAACAGAAAAATAATATAGGATATTACATCAACAGTTTTAACCTTCAAGGGGCAACAGACAAAGAGGTTGTGTATAGAATGTGAGATGAGATTTAGGATAAAATGAGGTCGATGACAAAGCATTCACTGTGGCTGGACATGTTCTCCTCAATGAGATGAGAGAGGAAGGAGGGACTGTTCGGGCATGCCAACTTCAATGACTTGATAAGGGAGGTAACTGTCCGACATTCGGTCCTCAAACAGCTGATGAGTTGGGTGGGGGTTCACTGTGGGTGTTCCTTGGTAGGTAGAGTAGAGGTGATTTCAGCAAATGTATAGTAGTAATATATCTGTAAGACCAACTATTAAACATTCAGCAATATAAGTCCCAAAAATATTCAGGAAATGCAAAGTTCTAATCCATTATGGAGGCATCCTACAAAGAATGGTCTTCACATTCTATTTATCTGCAATCAACATGTTTGTGAACTCTACGGTAGACTTCTGAACTCTACGGTAGACTCACTGTAGCAATCTACAAGCTTTCTAGTAGCACAAACCAAGGCATTCAGGAGGAATGCTGGACTATTCACAGCCACACAAACATAAAGTATGTCTCTGAAAAACAATAGAAAGGCAACCATAGAAGGCACAAATCAACACTCCACAACAGACGCCATCATTCTCATGCCCTTATACGTTTAGCTCATGCATGAACAATTTGTTTCAAGGTCAAAGGTCATTTCAATCTCCAAAACAACTGGCTACATGACAACCTAGACAAGACAAATATTTGTATAATCAATCATTTAACAAACTTGTTTATCTTGAGGATACAAAATTTCAATATTTTTCCTAAATATGAAGATTTGAACTTCACATTAAAATAAACAAATTTTATTTATCAGTTTCATATCATTCATAGTATCAAGTTCTTTGAAAAGATTCATCAAAATGAAATTTTCTAAAAAAAAAATGGATATAATTAAGACCAAAGAGATAAGTTTTAAGAGATCTATTTCTCTCATTTCCAGACAAAAGTATTTTTCAATAATTCAGTCAGAAACAGCTAAGGATAAAATTGGCACATATAAAATTGACTATGTAAGTATACAATGTAAAAACTTTATAAATGGAAAATGTGACAAAATACATACAAACTGTTTACAGGATGTGTTAAGCCTTTTTAGTTAATAAATAGCCTCCGTAGATAATTCACATACCAAAAGGGAAGTCACTCTGTCCTGGAACTCCCTAGGGAGACAAGTCAGGATCTCAAATGCTCTATCTGTCTATCTCTAGCTAAAGATTTTCTATAATGGTGAAAATCATGTCATGATTTTTGTCATTTGTAAACCGATTTCAATCAATGGTGCAAATTATGTCATAATTTTTAACTTGATTAATTAATGTAATATTTTTTTTATATTTAATGCCATTTCTTCGGGCAAGCCATTTAAATGTACAAAACAAGTGCTGTTGAAAGTGATAGAGATCCTGACCAAGTACAGTGGAAATACACATGTTAAACACCAGGGACAAGTTAGTGTGTTAAGATTACCACAACAAACGCTCATCTCCTACAGATCAGCTGGCCATGAAGTGGAGGCAGAGTGAGTATACAGCAGGGTTATCAGTACACCACACAACAAGCATCTCAAATGATGCAATTTATATATAAAGTTAGGATCAATGAGCTTAAAACTGTCAAACATGAAAACAGACTGTAAATCATATATGTACAGGACTATGATACATAACGCTTGGGCCAGATCCAGCTGGCTTGCATTGTTGTAAACATTCACTAATATCTATCTATATATACATAATGTACAAATCGTAGTTAAACTTTTATCAATATAAACAAAAATTTGATAATGACAATGAAGACGACAATGATAATAACAATGATTATGACGATAACAATGATGATGAACACATGACAAAAGGCCTCCCATCTCTACGCATCATTACAGAATGGCCCACTTAGTCACACATGCCGGCCATTCTGCTTACGAGGTGGAAGGGCAATTTAATACTATTAGTTTGATCTGTTTATCACATGATCTGAGTAGGATTTGATCTTAAGCCTTATTTGGTCCACATGGAACTGAGGCTAAAGCCTCAATGATTACCACATTCAATGAAGAAAGACGTATGAAATGAAATCACGGAGAAAATGTCCTGTTCCCTATAAAGACAAAGTATTAAGATAAGTAAAATGATTTTTATCCTAGGAAAGGCCTTTGCTATAATGTGGTGACATATACCGTCTGCTCTTCACTTGGTTCATCATATTTATCAGTCCGTCTACGGGCCAACTCCCCTGCATCTGAATACTGATTATAGTCCCTCATTTCCTCAGGTTTGTAACCCCCAAGGTGTTCATAGTGAGGGTGTTGCGCCAACATGCGCGCCGCACGCTCAAGTTCTTCTTGCGTCATGTCATTGGCCTCAGCGATCTCGCGCTGTAACGTACGAGCGTCTACATATTGGTGAAGGCCTTCCTCTGCCAGGACCTGATACAGAAATTCAAAAACTCTTCATTTCATCCGAATATTTCTTTATTTCCCAAACAATATTTTTTTGTGTCATTTTATCCCACGTTTTGCCAACAACTAGTATGGATTTCTATACTGCTGAGGCAGTGGGTATGTTAACCATTATCATGTTACTTAGCATGTTAGAACCATGGTCACTGGTAAGTATGTATGTCACAAACTTTATGTGAAATCTAGTCTGACAACACAAATATGCATCAAAAACACCACAAAATTTCCTTTTGTTTTTGTCCAGATATGAACATTGTGGGAGAAATTGATCCATAACTTGTAAACTTGATGTCAAGTTTTTTTTTTACTCTTTCAACCCAAGTTTAAAATAAACAAGAGGCCAATGGGCCTTAACGGTCACCTGAGTCCTACAGTATTTATTTTTGTTGTTGAATTATGTACCAATTTGAGTCAAAAATAGTTAAGTATAATGTTAACTTAACTTTGTCAGGACCATGAGCTGATCATTCCTAGACCGATTTTCAGTGAGATCGGCCTATTAGAACTTGTTTTTAAGATTGAAATAGGTATTTACAAAATAGCGGCCATTGCAGCCAAATTGTATTTCTGATTGACCCGAAAAATAACAACACTTTGTCAGGACCATGATTCGATCATTCCTACAAAGTTTCAGTTCAATCAGCCAAGTAGAACTTGACTTTAAATTTGAAATAGTTTTTCAAAATGGCGGCTGTGGTGGTCATATTGGATTTCTGATCGACCCGAAAAATAACAACACTTTGTCAGGACCATGAGTCGATCATTCCTACCAAGTTTCAGTTCAACGGCCTAGCAGAACTTGACTTTAAGTTTGAAATAGTTTTTCAAAATGGCGGCCGTGGTGGCCATATTGGATTTCTGATCGACCCGAAAAATAACAACACTTTGTCAGGACCATGAGGCAATCATTCCTACCAACTTCCAGTTCAATCGGCCCAGCAGAACTTGACTTTAAGTTTGAAATAGTTTTTCAAAATGGCGGCTGTGGCAGCCATATTGGATTTCTGATCGACCCGAAACATAACAACACATTGTCTGGACCATGAGTCGATCATTCCTACAAAGTTTCAGTTCAATCGGTCTAGCAGAACTTGGCTTTAAGTTTGAAATAGTTTTTCAAAATGGCGGCCTTGGCGGCCATATTGGATTTCTGATCGACCCGAAAAATAACAACACTTTGTCAGGACCATGAGGTGATCATTCCTACCAACTTTCAGTTCAATCAGCCCAGCAGAACTTGACTTTAAGTTTGGAATGTAATATGTTAACGGACGACGGACGACGACGGACGAAAACGGATAGCAAAAGCTAAAGCTCAGGTGACCTAAAAATTTGAACTTAGTAACCTCAGCTTAAACATACTTGGTAGCTCACCATCATTCATATTCCATTCAGTTTATAACATTTTATCTAATATGGAAGTTTTAATTGAACGGAACCAGGAAACAAATCCTTTAAAAATCTCTACAAAATATGATATTTTCAACGAAGGTTTTCTTTAAAAATTGCAATATCATTTCAAGCTATCCCATATTCAAAAAGATACCTTTTCTACTAGATTTTCCGCTCTACCACGGTGCCGTGGTGAGGTGGATCTTTGTTGAGACATCACATGATCGGGAATAATGAGAGGTCCTCGCTCCTCAGTTCGCGAGTAAGGTCCTAGTTGGGAGTCCTGTTGGAGTGCCGAGTCACTAGCACGATGCACTCGCTGCCGGGGAGAGTCCAGATTTTGTCCTTCAATAATGGAGTTGGAGCGTATAAAGATTTGCCGTGGGTGTGCTGAAGACAAAGCATGCAACATGCAAGTTAGAAGTCACAGGTGTTAGTAATTGAATATGAAATTCAGTGTTTCACTTTACCTATATAAAAGGCTACAGGTGTAAGTGATAGAGGAGACAGCTTACCATACTTTATCTGGTAAGAGGTTAAATGTGTTAATAATTGAATATGAAACAGTTTCTCATTAAACCTAGATAAGAGGTTATAGGTGTTAGTGATTGAAGGAGCGGGTGCCTTGATAAACCTAGTTAAGAGGTTAACAGTGTTAGTGATTGAAGGAGCGGGTGCCTTGATATACCTAGTTAAGAGGTTAACAGGGTTAGTGATTGAAGGAGAGGCTGCCTTAATAAACCTAGTTAAGAGGTAAACAGTGTTAGTGATTGAAGGAGCGGGTGCCTTAATATACCTAGTTAAGTGGTTAACAGTGTTAGTGATTGAAGGAGAGGCTGCCTTAATAAACCTAGTTAAGAGGTTAACAGTGTTAGTGATTGAAGGAGGGACTGCCTTGATATACCTATTTAAGAGGTTAACAGTGACTGAAGGAGAGATTATGTACCTTTATCTACTTAATATGTTAATGATGGGAGCAATTACGAGAAATAGCTTTTCGTCTCAGTAAGAGGTTTGATGTGCTACAGCTAAATGATAATCCTGTTTTAGTTGATTAAAAGTCACAGATTTGTAAGTGACAGAAGAATAGTAGTAGTTCTTAATCAACTAGTCAAATATCACACAAGTCTGATTTTGTTTTGAATTTTAAATCTGCATGTTAACGTTAAACAAAAATCACTGAAAATATGTTGTTGATTTACTGATAAATTATCAATGCTACTACATGTACTAGCTGAAGGACAGCTACAAATCATCAACAAAACATGCTGATCTCTGCCCATGCTAAATGTGTTGTTAGATTGTATACTACTACCATACCTACATCTCTGCTATCTACAGTAGTGTTGGAGGCGTTAAGTAGTGCTGCTGTGTATGTGAGCACTGACTGGAAGGCTACCTACATGTCACTCCCATTCCGTACTGTACACTACATGGTGCAGCACTCAGTGAGATTCGTTTGTCAGCCACAAAGCGTTAGGTGCTATGTTTTCTATATATACTGTCATTCTAGCGTTTCTATTATATAGCCACACTCGACACCACACCCCTCGGTAGCCAGGCCTCTCATCACCTTATACAAATACCTAATTCTACCAAATTCTATTTAATTAATACTACCTATTCTTATAGCTATAACCATCTTCTCCTCAAATACTCATTTCCATAGACATAGGTAGTCCTCCCTTCATCTGATACTAAATATTCCCACATAGTCATCTCTTCAACTGATACTTATTCTTACAGACAACAGATTCTTTCCAATATCAACTTATTCCTACCCACATCTTATTCCTACCAACATAGTCATCTCTTCAAAGAATACTTATTCCATAGACACTGGCTTCTTTTCAATAGAAACTTATTCCTAGTCATCCCTTCAAAGGATACTTTTTCCATAGACACTGGCTTCTTTTCAACAGAAACTTATTCCTAGTCATCTCTTCAAAGGATACTTATTCCATAGACACTGGCTTCTTTTCAACATAAACTTATTCCTAGTCATCCATTCAAAGGATACTTATTCCATAGACACTGGCTTCTTTTCAACAGAAACTTATTCCTAGTCATCCCTTCAAAGGATACTTATTCCATAGACACTGGCTTCTTTTCAACAGAAACTTATTCCTTGTCATCCCTTCAAGGATACTTATTCCACAGACAGTGGCTTCTTTTCAACAGAAACTTATTCCTACAGTCATCCCCTCAAAGGATACTTATTCCATAGACACTGGCTTCTTTTCAACAGAAACTTATTCCTTGTCATCCCTTCAAGGATACTTATTCCACAGACAGTGGCTTCTTTTCAACAGAAACTTATTCCTACAGTCATCTCTTCAAAGGATACTTATTCCATAGACACTGGCTTCTTTTCAATAGAAACTTGTTCCTAGTCATCCCTTCAAAGATACTTATTCCAAAGACACTGGCTTCTTTTCAATAGAAACTTATTCCTACAGTCATCCCTTCAATGATACTTATTCCACAGACACTGGCTTCTTTTCAACAGAAACTTATTCCTACAGTCATCCCTTCAAGGATACTTATTCCAGACACTGGCTTCTTTTCAACAGAAACTTATTCCTACAGTCATCCCTTCAAAGATACTTATTCCACAGACACTGACTTTTTATCAACAGAAACTTATTCCTACAGTCATCCCTTCAAAGGATACTTATTCCACAGACACTGGCTTCTTTTCAACAGAAACCTATTCCTACAGTCATCCCTTCAAAGGATACTTATTCCACAGACACTGGCTTCTTTTCAACAGAAACTTATTCCTACAGTCGTCCCTTCAAGGATACTTATAAATACAGACACTGACTTTTCTTCACTAAATGTTCACTTCTGCAGACATAGTCTTCACCAGGAACTTCATAACAATACTGCTTTAACATGAAATCCAAAACATTTTTTTCATAATTGTAATACAACTACAGTGTTATATTATACTCAGGGGCCATAAACCTCCATGATAACAGCATACTCAAAATCTCTAATTAACAGAGTACAGGGCCGGGCCGTATTGAGTGCGCTGTATGGTCGCCTGAGAGCCTGGCTATCCCTGTGGGTGGGCGTGTTAGTGAGTGTGACATAAAGCATGTTTTGCTGACAACACAACCAAACCCACCTGTCCATCGTCTATTTACTCTTCGTTTGACACTGTTGAAGAACTCTATACCTATATTACAAAATAAAGCATGTACAGGTGTTGTCGACAAACCATGATACATAGTCTACAGGAAGCATACTGCACAGTGCTTCAATTTCTAAGTCAAACTTTTGTGGTTTTGTTCCTAGAACAAATTCCCAGGGGTATAAATTTCCTATGACAATTTTTTTTCTCAATCAGAAAATCAAGAAATTTGAGGGTAATGTGAATTTAGCGAAAGTAAATCCTGAAAGCTAAGTGCTAACATCTACATTTGCGAAAAAGATCTTGAAGAGTGAAAGAAGGTGTGTATTAAATTACCTGTGCACAATACTAACAGAATTACGAAGTGGGTTGTGACAGATTTGTGTGCATTATAGAGGACTTGTATAATTTGAATGCTGTGTAGGAAATACTAGTATACCAACATTATCCAGAATAGACGTGTATTGATAGTGGACATGCTGAAAACCTTGCCATTTATCCTTAACCAAAGCAGGCGTGGAGTTGTTTTAATTCGTGTACCTGTGTATAGCTCTATAGAATACACTGGACATTTACCCTTAACCAAAGCAAGCACAGCAATATTTGAGTTTATGTGTGTTAATATAGAACATATGTTGTATTATAAAGTAATTATAATAAACAATAAACCGATTATAAAGTGCAAAAGGTCAATAAGGACTAAATTTGGATAAAAAGACAAAATATTTATGCTTATTATCAAACTAATTCCTTTTGTAATGGAAGTTTGAATTTATCAAATATATTATTGGGGGACAAGGTTTTGGATGGAGATAAGCTAGAGAATTTAGTATAAGGTATAAATATGGAGGGTGTCAGGTGTGGACTGTACCTGAGGCGAGGTAGGATGCACGCGTCCGTCCCATGGAGGGGGACGGAGTTCGCTTCACCTTAGGGTATTCCGGCCTCTGCTGACCCTCAGGGGTCATTCCTGCTACAGCCATTGCCTGGAAAATCACACAGTTACAAGGTATTATCACTGGACTTAAGAATCTAAGATCCTTTTTTGTTAAGAAAACAGTTAATATGATAAGGATAATATTAAACACAGAAAAAAAATGAATTATCAAATAGGACAGGTAGACACATTTACTTTCGAACTGTAACCAATAAATCCCAGCCTCTTTTCTACTCCTTGTACTGCTGTTGTTTAGAGAGTTGTGCCCCTTACCTGTGACTGTGCCAGTTTTAGAGGCTCAGCTATCTTTCTCATGAGTGGGTTTTCGTCGCTATCCTGTTTTCCTATACAGGCTAGTCGTAGCGAGGGACCGCGTCGACTCAGTCTACGAGGGGGAGGGGTAGGGGGTGCATTTTCTCGCTCATAATCACTGTCCTCTTGCGGAAGACTATATCGACAGAAGAAAAACTCACCATGTTTCAAATGACATCAATTCAGCAGACTAAAGCTAAAATCTTTGCTTGCCTCATCTCTTTTCAATATTCGAAATTTCATTCTTAGAAATGACTTTTTCCAATCATTTTAAAAGTTATTTGTAAGGCAAAGACAGTTATCAGTTAAAGGATAATATGAGAAATGTCAAAACTTATGAGAATTTTTTTTTATCAGAAAAAGGATGATGCTGTAAAATGTTTCCTGAAAAACAAGCACATGAGAAATGAAGTTTATTTCCAATGGTGATACACTAAATATGTTGCAATATATATGTATATACATTAGTAAGCCAGATGTTGATGATACATCATGAATGTTAGTGCCGAGTTAATGCCGAGTAATTGTAGCTGAATATACAAGGTTATTTAGTGTATAGGATCATGCTGAAACCTTACAAGGCCGGGGTAGCTGTCATTTCACACACATTCTGGTCATCCAGTAATCCCTCTGGAGCTGTAGGTCTCCTGTCATTTAATAATCATTGACTGTTTGGTACCTTGTTTAAATTTTCTGACATTTTTGTCAAAAAGATATTCTTACTTTTAGGAAAATGCCCTAAACATAACATAAAATCTGAAAGCCTTGTGGCTTTATAAGCTAGTTAAATTTTATGACAGTTTCAATTTTTTTTTCAAGAAAACCTGCATTCATCTGTCTTCTGATGATTATTATGTGTCTATGTGCATAAAACAATCATGTCAGAACAGAGGCTATTCTACTTTACTCACAGATGCCTTGCATAAGAGGGTGGATAATATAGCAGATTCATTACAAATATTATGCACTAAAATATCATTCATGTTTCTATTGAGTTAATTTGCTCTCTTCGTATGTAACAAATGAAGGCCATATTGTAATTATTTTATTTCACATACTGCCTCTACTGAGCGTATTATTAAGCTAAGTCCTCTCAATCTGGAGGATTTCTATTCTATTGCACATAGTGGCATTAAATGCTGTTGTAATGAGCGTACTTACTCCCTGTACACATAAATGCCCTGCCTCTTTGTGGAATCAGCAGGTCCAGCATGGATGCTGTTACCCTTATGCTCGCTGTACTTGACATCGTTTGTGCCTTCCCACTGGGTGGGGGCAGCTTCGGAATCCTCCGAGTCATGGTTAAGCGACCTCGGTCGAGGGCTTCGGTTGGGTGAACGATCTTTATGCTGCATAGCCTCTTTCATTAAATCAGATGCAATCGAGGCTATAGCTATAGCACTGATAAATAAAAAAAATCCAGGGTTAGACACTCTAGACAGACATTTCAGACGGATGCAGTCCAGTTACGAATGGACAAGACAGACACCAGTCTAGTTACAGTGTCCAGATGACAGACAAACAAAGTCCACAGAGGGTAATCACCAGTGGCATGTGCACATTACATACCAGTTTTACTGATGTATCACACAAGCCTGTAAGCAATGTCTAGAAAATGCTTGAAATACAAATTGTTATGATGAATGGGGGAGGGCTACATTCAGAGTCCAAGCCACCGGCACCATTTACCGGTGACATTCCAGTCATGCATGGCACCAGCCACTGTCAAACACAGTGGACTTGTGGTCTTGTTGCTTTTTCCAATGCAAGTTTGAAGAAAAACACATGCTTTGTATCATAAGCAGGAATAAAAGTCTGTCTTGTGATTGCTACATTGAGTATATCTCAATACCTCTTCATTCAAAAATTATACAAACTTCTAATATGTTCTGTTTCACTAAATATCTCTACTATAAAAACTGTATACCACACACGTTTTGCTTAAATAGTTCCTATGGTTACAGTGGAACTGCCATATTATAGGAAACTTTACATACTGAAGTTCATGCTTACAGACCATGTTTCGATCAATATCCAATTTTTCAATCTACGTATCACTACGTTAGAAAACATTGATGACCAGCTAGGTGTGCAAGATGTACATCATTTATGATATATGGTAGCATCCCAACCAACTAAATTGTTTGATTCAAAAAGGCATCTTCAGAGGAAACGCTGAGTAAATAACGAAACTCTTTATAAAGTTTCGGTAAAGTTTTAGGTAATTTTATCATTAACACAAGATTATCGAATCAGAACCAAGATTTCTTTTTCGAAGGAATGAAATCAGTGTCCAACATATGTGCCCCTTACCAAAGTTAAAACAAGTTAATTATAAATAGATATATATATTGCTATAAACAGAGAAACTGTGGTTATCATACTTTATCCACAAGCATTGCATGTATTTGCAGACTTGTGTTCCATGCAGCACCTACCTTGTGTGGCTCTGCCTGCGCGAGTCATTTGACATGACAGGCGACACACGGACTGGGGCTAGGGGTGATGGCGACCGGTTGACCGCATTGCGGTACTCCACATTGAGGTGGTTACTGGACTCGGCTGGCGTGACTTTACCATTGATGGAGTTCTGTGGTGAGATGGTGGTGTGGGGACCGTGTACAGAGTTTGCTGGTGACACTTTGGGCTGTTCTTTATGGTTGATGAGTAGTGACTGTGTCCTCCCCGTAAATGGAAGTGTGGTTTTATGTACACCAGCCAGAGCGTTCATCATACTCCCGAACAAACTGTGGTTTCTCTGCAAGTCATTAATGGATAAAGGACATCGATAAGGTTTGTCAATCTCTTGCCAGATGAATAATAAATATATCCTGCTTTTTTTTACATTATAATCAACTTTTTCTATTGTCAACACCAACATATTAAACACACAAGTTGAAAACATGCTCCAACATAGATAATTCAGGAATACATCTCTGTATATTCCATATTGAACAGTTAAACTTGTTAACCTTCTCTTAAAGGTGTAGCAGAACGAAACTGCTCAAAATGTAAGAAATTAGCAACGATCTGAGATTTCCTCTAATCTAACTTTGGGTCAGGTCATCTAAAAATCGAAGTGTGTGCTCATCAATGCTTAACGTTTAAATCTACCTTTTTTTACACATATTTTTCCAACTACATATATAGTGATATTGGCTTTGATTTTTAACTCTGTTAAATCTTTTACTATCATTAGTAAATGTCGACTTTTTGGAGAGCAACCTTGACATTTGACACCGTCTTGGTTCCTACATTACGCCCATGTCTCCCAATACAAACCCTATGCATAGGCTCCTCCACCTCCTTAGCTGGGAATTCCTCCTCTTCAAGGTTACCAGAGATAGCGCGGCGCAGTTCTGGCCCCAGGTCGTGCACTGCTCGCAAACCAGCCTTCAATGTTAATGGTTAGTGTTAGGATCTCACATCTACTGTCAGAAATTAGCAGATGTACATATATTGTATCGCCTACCGTCAGGGACAAGAGTTAGTACAATCGAAGTTGTTGGATTAGTAACGCCCATGGGAGTTGCCAACAGGAGCACTCTCGCCAAACTTTTTCCAAACCTAAACATTCCTGTCCAACTTACTTATACAGAACTTAACCGTCATCATATCAAATCAAAAAGAATTAAGTTATGATTAAAGTAAAAACCTGGAACAAGGTCATCTTACTATTCTGCATCATTCTGAAATAAAACATTCAATTTTTCTAATATACCGCAGTTAGGTACATCTTAAAAATATCTTAAATAATTATATGTTAACAGAAATTGTTTGAAAAACAACATTTTGTTATCTGGAGACTCATTAATTAGCCTTTCAAAAAGAGGAAAAAAGTTACATCAAAATATTATTATCTTATTTCAAAGATAAATACCCTGTCTGGAATAAGAAATTGAATTCCCTTTTATCAATAACACAGGGCTCGGCAGCATATTTGAGAACTTATCACTTAAGATACATTTGCTGGGTTTTTAAGTGACTTTTAAGCAGCTTTGAATGTGCTGGATTTGGATACATCATTGTATACTGACCAAATAAAATAAAATATACCAGCTATATATATATATACGGGGAGTGCTTATATATTGGGAATGTGAGATACACATTTATATATCCAAGTCCAGCATTTTCACAGTTGAAGATGAAACATAGGCAGCCAATATAAAAGCACCCAGTGAAACTGGTCAACTGTCAGAGTGAGGCTGACCTCAGGGTCAAAGTGAGGATGGCCCCAGCACTGTCAGAGCGAGGCTGACAGAAGACTCTTGATTATATCATGATTAACATGCAAGTCAACTGAGGTCTTAATAAATCATTAATCATGGTGTAATCTTCCTGTACGGTCACTCCTGTAACTATGACAACCACAACAAATGTTCCTGTAAACTTGGACTGGAGTTCATTCACTGTCACGGTCGGTGTGATCTTCAGTACAAGTTTGAGAGATCCGCTTATATGATAAGGAGGAGACTACCAGCCTAGAGACAGTACTACACGGAGAGCTAAAGACAATGTCAATGACACACTGAGAGAATAGGTACATCTCATTAATAAACACGCATAGACCAATACTAAATGTATATAAAGCAGTACTGTAATATATCATAATTCAAATGAACAGAAACAAAGCAATTTAAATTGACATTGAATATAGTATACCATAGAGATTATATATATATAAATATACATTTCCGAATAGAAACATCCCAAATGTTGCAAACAACAAAGAACAATGAAACTTAGGTGGCTACAAAAAAAGGAAATAACACTTGCAAACAAATGCAAGCAAATCCTTGACAGTCATTCGGGACAATCTGGGACTAGTGCTGATGTAGCCTAAATACATCTGGTTTTAAGTCTTCTCGGGGCAGCCGAGGACCAGCAGCATCCTCTACGTTAATATGTTACAATCAAAAAGCATGGATATCTCTCAGCAAGATTAAGGTTTGAAACACCTGACTTGATATAATGCATGTCTGCAAAACTTGAGCTGGCTTCTGAAGGGAGAACGCCGATGGTGACTTTTAAACCAGAAGGATATAGGATCAGGGATTGGAAGGGAAATGCAAAGAAACATAGCTGCTTTTCAAAATCTGGGCCAAATTTTTTGGTATTGTCCACTTCAAAATGAGGAATATACAATGGCCAGCGCCAACACAAAAGTTACCAGAAAAGTGGTATGATGGGATCTTGTTTTACTTGGTTCAAATAATACAAAGTACCCAATAGGTACATACTTACCTGTACCAAGGTCTAAAAAGCAAAAACGAAGGCAAAAATGCAGAATCCTTCAATATCATCTATCTGTTGCCATGAGTGTGAACAGTCTCACTGTCTCCCGTAGCCTAACACCATTACATTTCTCTTCATTTTGTTTTCCATTTTGGCAACAAATCAATCTCTTTCTCCAATGTTTAAAATGCTATTTTGGACACAATATACAGATATAGAATTTAAAGAAGGTATCACATAAAGCCTGAATAGTTAAGTTATTGTCTGTAACATTATGTCTCAACATGTTAACATATCAGTACAAAGTAAGAGACCTCTGAACATTGATTAAAGGTAATCTTATGTAGACCTTAACTCACCTGCAGAGCGTTAGTGTGTTCTTGTCCTTTCTGAATCTTCTGCATCTGTTCTTTCCTTTTCTTGAACCGACGGAAGTAATCTTGGATAAGAAATGTTGCATAGAATTTCCCTACCGTAACATCATCATCACCTGCAGAAAACAGAATCAATAAAAAGTATTATACTCTGTCATAGAATTACATCAATTGAGTATTAAAATATAGTAGTTAAAGCAAGCTTCAAATGTTATTTATTCACATATGACCATTACAATAACAGTGAATTCTATAAATTGGACAACAAATGAAAGTTCCATTGTTTTTTGTCAATGGTTATCACAACAAGACACCCGTGCCAATAAAGTATTTGTTTTGATGAGTTATCTGCCTTCTAGGTTGATACCCTGGTACCTATAAATGCAAATATTTTGTACACTGCAAAATACAACTATGAAGAGACTTTCTTTGAGAAAACATTACTTTGGACTTAAAAGCAATTTATTCAAAAGCAAAAACAAGTGTGTAATGTTAGTTCCTAATTTGTAAACATTTCTACTTTACTTTTATATAAGTTTGTTAACTTTTCCTTTGATATAAGTTTGTTAACTTTTCCTTTGATATATTTTTGTTAACTTTTCCTTTGAATTAAGTTTGTTAACTTTTCCTTTGATATAAGTTTGTTAACTTTTCCTTTTGTTTTCACAAGGATGAATTTGTTGCAATCTTCTGTGTTAAGGGAAACCAATACTCACGGCCTGCCGGTGGTACTACTTGGTCGAGTAACTTTGGTGTTGTGCGTTTCCAGATCTTTTTGATAACGCCTCGTAACTCTTCATTGCATTGGTCTATGTTACCCTCTGTTTGAATTTTTAGTGACGTCCGCACCAATGCAAATAATGTAGCATTGAACATGACCGTCCCGTCACTATTTAACGGCATGTTCATACTGACCAATCTCTGTAATACAAAATAACAAATGTTAAGTCTACAACAACATATGTGTAAACTAACACAGGAGGAAGAATTGTTGTTTGGTAGAAAATTCCTTAATTGAAATTTAATTACAAATTTGTTTCCAAGCCATTCATCATATCATCATTGGAGAAAAGATATTATATTTAAAACCTTAAATATTACTTGTGCTGGTAGGTTGATTCGGTTGATTCTGTAAAAGTGTGGCGAAGCCTACCTTACACGCTACTCGATGTGGACACAGTTTACCAAAGCCAAGAGGTGGAGATATTTTCCTCAACAGTGTAACTACATCTAAGTGTTTGATTCGTCCTCTGCAAAACAAAATATGTGAGAACAGTAATGTTATGTATTCTTGTGAGAGCATTAATGTTATGTATTCTTGTGAGAACAGTAATGTTATGTATTCTTGTGAGAACAGTAATGTTATGTATTCTTGTGAGAACAGTAATGTTATGTATTCTTGTGAGAACAGTAATGTTATGTATTCTTGTGAGAACAGTAATGTTATGTATTCTTGTGAGAACAGTAATGTTATGTATTCTTGTGAGAACAGTAATGTTATGTATTCTTGTGAGAACAGTAATGTTATGTATTCTTGTGAGAACAGTAATGTTATGTATTCTTGTGAGAACAGTAATGTTATGTATTCTTGTGAGAACAGTAATGTTATGTATTCTTGTGAGAACAGTAATGTTATGTATTCTTGTGAGAACAGTAATGTTATGTATTCTTGTGAGAACAGTAATGTTATGTATTCTTGTGAGAACAGTAATGTTATGTATTCTTGTGAGAACACTAATGTTATGTATGCTTGTGAGAACAGCAATGTTATGTATTCTTGTGAGAACAGTAATGTTATATATTCTTGTGAGAAAAGTAATGTTATGTATTCTTGTGAGAACAGTAATGTTATGAATAAGACCAAGTGTTAAAAACACCCCATAATCTCCCACCTCCAGACAGACCTTGTATTAAGTGAAAAAAGGCCATTACATTGTATAATAATAAAGTGAGACATGAAATATATGTTTTCAGTATGTAACATTCTGCCATCCCAAGAGATACTTGCATACAAAATTTGGCAATTGTATATGAAATATGCCTAGAAAAAGTTATGCATGGCGAGGAATGGCTCATTATTCTGTAAACACGAGACCTAATTTTAATGGTGAAACGCCACCATCCCGAGAGATACACTTTTGCAGTAGCGGACAGAAAAACTTTAAAGGCTTTGAAAGTTTTCTTGGAGTGCCTTTTTGCGACATGATCAGCAATACAAATTTAGTGTACAATTACAAGACACTAGCTTTAATGCTCAATCTATTCATAATAAACTTTGATTTGTCTGATTTCTAGAGCATTGGTAAAAAAAACACTTGATAGCACTTACTTGGCCTCTGGATCATATTCTGACCACAGTCTTACAAATTCGTCGAGATGGTGTGGCCCCAATATCGACCAATCTCGTGTTAAATAGTCGAAGTTGTCCATGATGACAGCCACAAACAAATTGATAATCTGAAAACACATGAAGGATCACAGGTAAAATGCAGTTTTAACAGTTTAAAATTAATTTTCTCAAGAACTGTTTTGTTTCTGACAAAAATCTTACCTTTTTAACTCACTATCAACTTTAGGGACAATATTTCAGATGTTTGATCATACAATTTAGACTATAGTATGTGAGAAAGGAATATGTGTTGATGAAAATGATATTTTAATTTTAATATTGAATATTTTTGCATTTCATTTATAAGAAAATGTAACAACTTTCATTGAGACATTTTACATATGATGATAAAATGAATCTGAAAACTTATTAAAATGGAACAATTTGGCAATAATCAATCTCTTTTCTAATTTTAAAATGTTATTTTGGACATGGTATACATATATAGAATGGAATGGAAAACTTACCAAGAAAGAACAAAGGATATAAAATGAGATGAAGTAGAAGTATGCAAAGTTGTTGCCACAGGTGGCATCGTCCGCCGGTGGTGGTGTACCATCAGGATCACATTTGGCCGACGCTTTGTCTATACATGACAACATGATATTCTGCCACGCTTCACCAGTAGCAGACCTGTAGCCAAGAAATAGAGACTGTGTATAGGTCACAGATATGGGGGTCAAAAACATCAAAACACTTCACACTCTTTAGGTCACAGATATTGGGTCAAAAACATAAAAACATTTCACACTTTTGGTGAAATCAAAGTTAGATCTGCAAAAATACAGAAACTAGGTTACATGGGTTAAACAGTTTTTGATATGGTTCTCTTTGTTACGTTTTGTCACTAACTCAATATTAAATGTTTGGGTAATAAAAAAACTTGAACTACAAATAACATGTTTATGATGAGAACCTTCCCAAAACCTTAGAAAGTATCCTTCAATAAAAACACAATTTTCTTATAAACTTTCTGTAGATTTCTTGGATATTCTTCCAGTAATGGTTATTCTTAACCTCCAGAAATATAAATGTTTATCACATGCCTAATTGCTATATATTTATCTTCAAATATCAATACACTCCATATGTCGACCATTATTAACTCTTTGAAAAAATATTTATCACTTTTTAAATACTGCATTTCAATTAGTGTAAGTATATGAATCCCAGTTGAAAACCTCCAAATCAGCATCTAATACTTACCTAAATAAGACTAATACTCCTTGTGGAAACGTTTGGAAATTGTTGTTTCGGTGGATTTGAGTGTCAGAATTTTTAGCAATCTTACCAAACATCTGAAAAGTATTGAGTTGCAGGTATAAATAAAAACACAATACATGCAAATATGTAAAAAAAAAAAGGATTGTGGTCGACATATAAAACACAAAATTCAAGCAATGATCTTCATTTGTCACCTTGCTAGAAAAAGTTGCCATCCTTTATGATTTTTTGATCCCGCTCAGTCTTCATTCACATGAGAGGATGTGGGTTCAAGCTTATGTAGAAAGAAATGTTATAAAATCACAAGACCTTTTCCATTTCTATGTCCGTCATGTGACTGAATTTCAAACCAATTTAACTGGCCATTCGTAACAGCATGGCTATATGTCATGTGACATAAATTTCAAACCAATTTTATTTGCTATACCTAACAGCATGGCTATATGTCATGTGACATAAATTTCAAACCAATTTTACTTGCTATACCTAACAACATGGCTGTATGTCATGTGACTGAATATCAAACCAATTTGACTTGCGATCCCTGACAGCTGACAGTATGGCTGAGCTGGAAGTACTGTCCGACTTACCTGCATACCAATTACTGCATAGATGAAGAATAACATAACAATCAGCAGTGCTACATAGGGCAAAGCCTGAAATAGATCAAAACTTCGGTGTCAATTACACAACAGTATTCTCAAAATGATCAGTATTCATCTGTACTTTCTTATTAAAATCCATTCAAATTAACATTCAAATAAAAAAAAATCAATATGTTCTTAAGAACCGACATTTAAGAACTAAATTTCTAATTATCAAATATTTGTTTGAAGATCCCTGTCCCAATGCATTGTGGGTTTTTCGTATATACATAGCAACCTCCCCTTAATTTTGTTTTGGATATATGTAGCACAGTTGGGCCGGACACTTCTATTGACTAGATAGCTCAGTCGTTTGGAGCCAGAGTATAACACTTAGAAATTCAGGGTTGGACTTCCGGTCTAGCCCAACTGATTTTTTACACTCAGAACACTATTGTTGAACAGTTTTAGTTTTTGGCAGTGGTACTGGGATCCTTAAAAAAAAAATCAGTAAATACCAGTACTGAACACTAAAATACAGACAAACAGGCCAACTAAATCAACTCGCTGTCATTCACATCATACCTGGAAGGACTTTATAAACGTCCATAATAACGTTCGAATGCCTTCTCCTCGACTTAGTAGCTTTACAAGCCTCATAACTCGGAACAGTCGGAAGAAATTTATACTGATTATTCCTTGCCCGGGCTGTAACAGAGAAAAAGACACTGTCAGTGACTTATACTGATGGATAGACAGGAAATTAATGATGAGCTATCTGGGTATTGGTTAGTGTTGTTAGAGATGCACATTTCAAGTTAAACTCACGAGCAGAAATGCATGAAAGCAACAAAGCACGGCATATACAGGAATTACATGGTAGGATATTATAACATGAACTTTTAAGATTTCCATACCATTTCTTTCAATTTACCATGAATATTTTAAAAGTTGAAAAAAAAAAAAAATCTTTATAAAAATATCATTAACACCTTATTGAATACTTTTTTATCTTGAAAAAGAAAAAGCTTTTATCTGGTGCTCATTCGTTTAAAATACATTACCAAATGTGACAGAATATTAATTCAGGAACATACCATCAAAGACACCTATAACATACCTAAGCAGGCACAGAAACACAATACTTGCCACTGTCGGACAATTCATTACAAATTCATTAGTCCATTATAACAAGTATCAATTAAACATACACAATGTAATTAACTAATCTGCGTATACGTTTTAATCTCTGATTTGACTATTGGTGTTATTTGTTTTTTCTAGATTGGTTTTGAAAAAAGTCTGTGAATATTCAGGGATTTATCAGGGCTTCAGAACACTCTTGGCTCCAATTTAGGGAAAATTGCAGACAAAGCTGGAAATATTTTGGATGATCATTCATACTTAATAAACATCAAGTTAAATGCATTACTAAATAAAGTAATTTGCTTTGTAACTTTATCAAAATATCAATCTTTCTTTTGAGGCCTCCAAGACCATTCATTTTTTTTTAAGGAAAACAAATTCTTTGTACATTGGAATCGTTTGATAAATTGAGATGAAAGGTTTAACTGTGAATTAGTTCATTTAAAAGATCTGGAAAGGAGAAAAGTGACAAATCCCTGATATAACAACACACAGAGGTAAAAGTATACAGCTTCGATCCCCTGGTTCAATAGCAAGGGTTAAAGCATCAGACAGGTAAAAGTTATTATATTTGCATGAACATACAATAATTACAGCTGATATGGTTAGTTAACAATTATCACCATAGTATTTCATTGTTACAAGTGATATGATTGGTTGAATATCATAACAAAATACTGTAACTCCTTGTCACACATTAAATGATAGGCTGTTATCTATCTTAACATTATTGAAGCTTGTAACAAATGATACGAGCTGCAGATTATATGATATTCATTAACACATCTAGTAGTTTATTGTTACAAGTGATTTGATTGGTAGAAAGTCACTAACACAATATTGTAGTTCAGTGTTACAAGTGATTCGATAGGTAGAAAGTCACTAACACAATATTGTAGTTCATTGGTACAAGTGATTTGATTGGTAGAAAGTCACTAACACAATAGTGTAGTTCATTGTTACAAGTGATTTGATCGGTAGAAAGTCACTAACACAATATTGAAGTTTATTGTTACAAGTGATTTGATTGGTAGAAAGTCACAAACACAATATTGTAGTTCAGTGTTACAAGTGATACGATAGGTAGAAAGTTATTAACACAATATTGTAGTTCATTGTTACAAGTGATTTGATTGGTAGAAAGTCACAAACACAATATTGTAGTTCAGTGTTACAAGTGATACGATAGGTAGAAAGTCACAAACACAATATTGTAGTTCATTGTTATAAGTGATTTGATTGGTAGAAAGTCACAAACACAATAGTGTAGTTCATTGTTACAAGTGATTTGATCGGTAGAAAGTCACTAACACAATATTGAAGTTCATTGTTACAAGTGATTTGATTGGTAGAAAGTCACTAACACAATACCCTTTCAAAATACAAACTTGAATTTTTGGGTCAATCTTACAAAACAGTTTCAAAATCTTTGTTTGTGACCTACGACTACATTTATCTTAAACAATTCAATGTACAGACTGGCCCATCTATTTTCATCAATGCCACATATCCTAACTTACTGTGAATACTGGATACTGTAATCTGTTGTTTCACTTTGATCTAGACATGATTTATCTGATACGATATATTTGTTTACAGTATACTATAGCAGTAACCATGTCTATAACCAACATGTAAGTATCTGTTACCTGGGGTAAGTATCTGTTACCTGGGGTAAGTATCTGTTACCTGGGGTAAGTATCTGTTACCTGGGGTAAGTATACAGTCATTTTTTAAGCTCTTGCCAAACTTGTCCTTCTGGTCACAATTATATAATGATTAATGAATACTTGTCCAATTGATGTGATGTACCAGGTATTATTGTTAATGGCATTGAGAGGCCGGTTTGACGTTGAAAGATATTCCTATATTGGTTACTCACTGTTTTTATATATCTTTTCTTTATAATTAACATGTATCAAACATTTCCACATAAATAACTGGTACTTCACCATTACTGGTTTAAACTGAGGAATACTTTTAATGAACACATTACTGTACTTTGTAAAATAACTTTTTCGCTCTGTAAACAATTTATTGTACAATTCTGTCATGTAAATATCATGTAAATGTGTACATAATAAGTTATCTTCAGACATAAATACATGTTACTGGACCCAAAGGAATAAAATATTAACAAGTTGTACATGGCAAAAACTCAAAAAATATCAACCACCATGCTATAATAATCCTACATGGTTATATTTCAAATCACCAATAAACAGAAATACTATGGTTTAATACTAATAACTCATAATTCATTTAAAAATAATTAACAATATAGGCGATTAACTTCCAATATATGGGGAATATGCAGGTCATTCCATGTTTAAGCTTTTTACTTTCTGAAAGATAAGATATGATAGTTTGTGGCAATGTGGCATCATGCAACATTGGACAATATGTATTGATACGCAGGCAGTGACGAAAACATGCCGGCTTTAACATGCCCTACACAGACAGCACTCATGCAAACAACCAGACACAGTCATCGTCAATTAATGTAGTGTTTCGTTCAAGTTTTCACTTTCAACAACCAAAAGAAATGTGCGAACATTGATTCTGGTGCAAATCACGAAATTATCAATCCAGTGAAATTATAACAAATATTTTGACATCATTATCGAACTGTTTAGTTTGTGTTACTTTGATAAATCACATTTGGCCTAAGCGGTATTATAGTCAATACAATGTAATTAAATACAGAAACCCACATCAATTTGTTTATATACAGTGTGATTGGATACAGGAGTATGCACAGAGATAGAGAGATAGTGTGAAAGACAAAGATACACTGCCAATATCACAATTAGAAGGTTCACAGGACATAGTTCCTACATTTTGAGAATTTAGGGCTATAGAAGAGTTAAAGAGTTGACTTAGATTAAGAAGTAGACATGAAATGGAGCTACCCTCACTGAGAACATGCAGAAAGAAACAGAGTGGTGAAATACTTCCTCACTCCAAGTTTGGCAGTAGGTAGCATAGTAGGGACCTGTTTGAACGAAACACAGAAGAAACTTGATTGGGTTCAGGAATCTAGGGACTAACGTACATGGTTTCCGCAACAACACAGTGACACCATGCTTGAGGATACTACAAGCATGCTCGACTTGAAAGCTGGCCAAACAGACGGAGCCTAACGGGAATGTATTTGTCTGTCTGTCCGGCTATTGTCTATAAATAGCATGCTGATCGACCACAGGTTTACAAGTTTGTGCTGGAAGAGAATACACTGTAGACCCAAGTGTGACTATAAAGTAATCCACAAACCTTTGCTCTCTATTAGTAAGATGTTGAAAACGAAGTGTAAACTGAATGTTAGTGACGTGACACAAGGTGATAATGAACACCTAACGAAGCATGATCAAATTCGTCAAAAAAACAAGCTATAAGTAAAAAAATACTATCTAGCGATAACAATGTGTTACATGGCATGTTGACATGGTGACGTCATTCGCCTGCTCTACCGAAACACTCAATAAAAAAACTGGTGAACAATACAAAGTGTTATAAAATTGTATCCTTACAAGGTCTCCATTATTCCACTGGCCGCAAATCAATATCATGCAGTGTTATTTGGCTCAGATATTGTAATGCAAAATACCACATCCTATCATCACTGTCATGCTAGAAGTCCTAAACTAGAAAACATTCAACAGCAACTGGTGAAAGTCTAACAAACTTCAACACTAAAATACCATTTCAAATCTCTTATTTTTCATCTTCAATGCTAATAAATATATATAAATGAAAAGTTCATGTATTTATCCATATCCATAATTTTCATGAATTAAGATTTCTATAGATTTGTTATTACATGAATTTGGTGAAAGCTAAAACAAGTGTAATATGATATCAGAATATGAATACTTTTGATTGTGATCAATGTTTCGAACTAGTTAACCCTAAGGAAGCAATCTACCATTGACCTTTGTGATTAACTAGTGTGCGCACACACAGACTCAGTGCCTTAGTCTGTACCAACCACCTACAAACAGCACACCTTACCCATCTTAACCTGGTCACCTCACACAACTGTTTGCAAAAGTGAAATTAGAAACATTGCATCAGTAGATGTACTTACATTGACTTCTGTGTAGATAATATCTATAAAACTTCCTAATACAATGATGAAATCAAACACATTCCACGCATCTCCAAAATAGTTCTGAAATAGGAAATAGAGAATCATGTATAAAAACAGCTGATTTACACCAATTACAGAGCATATAACATCCATGCATTGTCTGTTGTCCAGTATAATGTGCAAGAAATGAACTTGTTGAAACAGAGAAGAAAACAACAGATTTATGAGAAAGACAGCCAATCTCCCATAGATACAAACCCATATAAGATCTGTTACCACATCAGTTAAGAGATGGGTCATCATTATTTTTGCATTATATATTTCTTTGTATTACAGAAATCAATGCCCATCCACATTGATAGTCATACCAATGATGAACTGGTACTTACTTTAAACCTAAAGGCCATGAGTTTGAGGATGAACTCGACTGTGAAGACTCCAGTGAAGATCATATTTAAGTAGTCTAGAGCCTTGGAGTAAGAATCTGGCTGACCGTAGTACTGAAACAGATTAGGCAAACAATGCTTATCATCATTTTACAAGTTCTGAGTAAGAATCTGGCTGACCGTAGTACTGAAACAGATTAGGCAAACAATGCTTATCATCATTTTACGCTCAATTCTAATTTCTAACAATATACAATGTGCTTTTAAAAAAAGTAATTTAAATTGTCAAATTTGATTCTAAACAAATAGTCCAGTGTATGAAACTTATGTGAAACTTGGTACTGCTGCAGTGAAATACACTGCAGCAGTACCAATTCCTGTACCAATGTTTACTTACCCTCATGGCTAAGATGACAGTGTTGAACATGATGAGTGTAAATATGGCATATTCAAATGCTTGAGACGTGACAAACCACCATATTTTGTATTGCCACCGAGCCTTTGGTATATAGCGCCGTATAGGTTTGGCTTTCAGTGCAAATTCTATACACTTACGCTGAAAATAAATAGTTTTTGAAGTATAAATTGAAAAAATTCAATATATTTTCTTTTTTATTTAATGTTGAATACAATTTTTCCAATAATACATGGTGATAATTTATTCTTTATTGAAACCTATCACCAATAAAGTTACTTCCCTTCATTTCAAAGATGATATTTTTCATTTTCCTTGGCTGCCAAATTACAGAAAAAGAAACATTCTAATTGAATTGGATAACTTAATAAATATTGATTTACCTGGTTTTTATCTAATTCACAGTTTTTGTACTCTTGCTCTCCCTCATTCTGAAATGTGACTATGACAAAACCTACAAAGATGTTGACCATGAAAAATGCAATAACAATGATGAAGATGAAAAAGAAAATGGCGACTCCTGGCTGGTTGTTGTACTTTGGACCCAGACCTTCTTGATTCGAGTCTATAGCTATATACAGCAAGCTGAAAGAAGAAAGATTTGTCTTAGAAAATGGTCCGACATCATAAACAAAGTTCACATACAATGATCAGCAAGATTTAAATTGTAGACAATTGCTCCGTCATTCAGACAATGATGATTTCAATATATCAGAAGAGCTATTGCCATTACTTATTTTTTAGAAATAATCGTTAAGTTGACAGTGATTGACCTTACAATAAAAATAAATTGTACGGGTGAATATAACCTGAAATGTTCCCCAAGTCAGTGTAAAGCTGTATGATCGGAGGTCTCTTGTGTCTATGCTTAATTTTGGCAAAACAACTGACTGGATTACATTAATGTAAGCTAATTTAAGTCATACATAAATTCGTTTACATTTTTTTTTTTCAATCTATCAACATTCAAGATTTTACCGTCAAATATTGCTTAAATTCACTAGTAATCAAATCACAACATAGCAGCGTTGTTCAAAACTCTGTTTCTGTAACTTATTTTAAGGTGTACACAAAGACTGAAATTACTTGGGCCATCCTTCAAACGTTGCAACTGTGAACAATGTCAACATGGCGCTGGTCACATCATCGAAGTTGAGATCATTGTTGCCCCATTCTCGTTCCTTTTTATCTGGATTGTGGATATCTCCGTCTGGGTAGTCCACATACCAGCCCCTAAAGAAAGTAAACAACCATTACAACATATTTACATAGATTCGCCTGGGAGGAAGGTTCCCTGTATTTGTTAGGAATTGATCATAAAATAAATTACAACAGAGAATTTATGTTTATATTCAGATTTTGTTTAGATTTCTAGTTAATCTAACAATTTTAAAGCGAGCTATAATAAGACTTACTTGCACTCTCCCTCTGTCAATTTGGAGTTGTCCGTACAATGGTGAAACTTGCCCTGGAGTACAGAAGTGAAGAATGAAATGTCACTAACAAACTATCTTGTTATTCCTAGACATATAGCAATGATTTCAAAGCTATTACTGTTTGTAAAGGTGATCTATTTTGATTCTTCTAAATAGCTGCATGAAAAGCTGTCTCACATTTATTGTTAAGTATTTCCCTCAGTTTCTCAATTATTAAAGTTGAAAAAGTCCTTAAATTTAAAGTAACATATATATAACACATCAGTAAAATCAAACTGTTACCTACCCATGTAATAAGTTACCTCTATGAGACGACCTACAGGTAAGTTAAACTGTTACCTACCCATGTAAAAAGTTACCTCTATGAGACGACCTACGGGTAAGTTAAATCATTACCCAATAGTCTATATAAATTATAATTAGTTATTTTTGACTGTTTCTGGCCTTTTGTCCAATTTCGGCTGTAGGGGTGAAACAGTCAAAACTGTTTTCCCGTCAGAGCGAACTGTTACCCGGCGCGAATTCGATGCGCAGAAATCCCCACTCGAGAGCCCCGTTCAAGCGTTTCGGTGACCGCGACTAAGTGTTGAAGCAATGGCAACATTGCATGCAGCATTGATACTAATTTTTATTTGGTAATAAAACAATTGTTTCATGGTTATTTTGGGAACAGTCAAAACTATCATCCCTCGGTAGGGGGAATCCCTGTGGAACTGTTTGCCCTTGGCCTAGCGGCCTCGGGCAAACAGTTCCCCAGGGCTTCCCCCTACCTCGGGATGATAGTTTTGACTGTTCCCCAAATAGCCATGAACCAATTGTATACTGTTACCTACCCATGTAATAAGTTACCTCTATGAGACGACCTACGGGTAAGTTAAACTGTTACCTACCCATGTAATAAGTTACCTCTATGAGACGACCTACAGGTAAGTTACAACTATAACGGGGACATACTTATACAAGATTAAGTTACCTTTATAAGGTGACCTATCTTTACGACCTAGGTAAGTTGCTTGAGACTAACAGAAAAAAAATACCAATTGGAAGTTGTTGTTCACCTACCTTGAAGAGCTGGACACCAATGACAGCGAACATGAAGTTCAGTAGAAACGTGACCAGCATGATGTTATAGATGGTTTTCACAGCCACAATCACACACTGTACCACATGCTGTAGACACAAATGCAAGGTCATTAAGCAAAATACTTTATCAACCTGTTAATCAAATTTTTAAATGACAACTTTTATTTCATGAATTCATGGGATGCTTTTATAGGTAGGACAGGGAGCCCTATCAATAACCTGCGTACTATGGAAAACTTTGAAAATTACAGAAACCAATTCTTTTTGAACATCTCAAAATCATATTTAAGTAAAGCAAATTGGACTGTGTTTTAAAATTGTTTTTTGTAATTTTTAAAAAGCAATTAACGTGAAGCTGAACTTTGCTGATTTGAACTTAAAAAATGTAATATGACTGGATATAATGTAGTTTTGTGGCAGTAGACCAGTCCCTGCATTGTCTGATGTACTTGTCTTTTATCTCACCTTGAGACCCTTTGCTCTGTTGATGGCCCTGAGGGGACGCAGCACCCTCAACACTCTGAGAATCTTCACCACAGAGATTGCCTGGTTGCTGTAAGTACACACCAATAATTACAAATTCATCCAAACTGGTACACAGTCTCTCGTAAATGGCACAGCTACGTAAGTGACATATAATTGGTCTCTGATTTATACACTTCATTTAATCAATAATCAATTAAAACATATATACTGAATCTCAAGAGATCAGCATATCTATAACAGACAATCAAAAGGTTAAGAATTTAATACTAATGATACTGCTTACTTCATGAAATTATTTCCTATTAGAATATTCAAGTACCATAATTATCTTCATCGGATACATATCAGTAGAAAAACATCAATTCTAACTCTATACACTATATATAATATCTCTTCTTGAAAATAGCCATTAGAAGTGGTGTTAACATCAGCTTTAGAAATGTAATAAAGGTTAACATATATGTTCAGCAATGTCATGCTATATGAGTAGTATCGATAGGTATAAATTGACTACAGAAAAGGATTATAAGCTTGTGTACTGATGTCAACAGCCAAGTGTGCTCACAGGCATTGAAACTGGATGTCCGTACAGACGAGATTGGAGGTAGGTGCAGAAGTAATGTTCCATATAATGACATATAATTTAGAACCTCATCAAGGTAATGAATAAAGTACTTTGATCCATACCGTAGGTAAAAGCCCTATAAAATTGTAACAAGACCTTATTCAGTATATCATCATACAATACTACATGTACAAAAAGGTTACTGTTATAACGGTTTTATTTTCAAATTTTTTTTAGGAAAAGAATTAAACCACTAATTCAACAACTCCATTAAGATTTTCATTTACTGATTCACTGAATTATACATAATGCTAAATTAGCAATGTAGGAATAACATTTTCTGCTCTGAGGGCAAAAATAAGACATTACCAATTGTAACCTGTTATACAGTATACAAATAATATGTGCAGAAATCAATAGGCATGTGGTGTTATTTATGTAAATATTGAGGGGTTCTTGTTTCTGACAAATGGTCAGGGCAGAGGGTGTGTCTGATTGGATTGGAGTTCAGGGTTGTCTACGAGTGTACATTATGTATGGGGAGATCCTTGTTAAAGCACCCGTCAGCTGGAGATGAGGCGCGCACTGGCACAAATACAGTACAAGATTCTGGTATCCTTTGTGAGAATTCATACATAAATATTGAGTAGGTAGGCATTGTTCTGTAATAAAGACAGCAGTAATACTTTAATAATGGTATATTACTCCCAATCTTTACACACAGAAACATCTTAATTCTTGTTTCCCCGAGTAGTATAAATATAATTACTCTTGGTTCCATGTGTAAGGGAATCAATATTATTAGCTTTGGTTCAATACAGACAATGATCAAGATTATTATCCTAGTTCTCTGTACAAGGTATCAGGGAGTCGATTATTCTAAATAGGAATACATAATTGGGGTTGGGGGAGGGGCAGAAAGGCGCCCTTTATTGATATCTTTATGTGGGGGGCAGGGTCTAAACTTATTTTTAAAGGCCTCTTTGTCCCTAATAGAGATGGAAGATGTTTGGAATAGCCCTTTGTTGTACTGATTTCAAAATCAAAATTTAAAAATGTGCCTTCTTGATTTTTTCACACTAGAATGGTGCTCATAAATCTGCATCAGAATCATGTTCTGTGTGACGCAACTGCAGCTTTAATATCCGACACTAGGAAAAGTCCCAACAGGGTTTGGTTTTATTTTGATTATCCTCCTTGTGGCAGGGCATTATGATTCTAGCTCCAACACTACTACTTACTCCAGCATGAAGGATATTAGCGACACAGCCACAACGATCAGATCAAGGATGTTGAAGAAACTTCTACAGAAGGAGGCCGTGTGTAGGATGAGGCCGTATGTGATAATCTGTAATACAGATATACATCATATACACACAGCTTATTACATTTAATAATCAAAAAGAATAAAATAATGTTTAACCTGAAGCTTTCATTGTGTAATTACATGCTTAATCTTCATTATAATACGAATGCATGACAGTGCTTAAGCTGAATCTGTCCTTATTAGTACCCTACTGGATATATACACAACTTGAGCTCACTCGGATTAACATGTACTGACCTAAGGTAAAGACAGAGGAAAGGAAGCACTCACAAAAGTTTAATGTTATATAGAGTTGGTAAAAAGAACAAATATCCTATGGTATCAGGCTTCTTAAACCGTGTTCATGAATATAAAAATGTCAAATGATATAAATGCAAACTTAAGACAGAATTGTTTTTCTTACAAAAATACTCAGTATATTATTTCAATTTTTCTTACAAAAATACTCAGTATATTATTTCAATTTTTCTTACAAAAATGCTCAGTATATTATTTCAATTTCAACAGATTCTATTGACTTTATATATGTCAATTGGATTGGACATCAGGCTAAGCCTATTCAAGTCCTTTCCAAACTTATTTACAAACATTACATATATTCTGTCATAACAATCCAAATAGACAGTGATATTATAAATCTAATGTTAATCTCAATTCTGAAAGGGTTTTAACAGCTTGCTGTATATTGTCAACATGTGGTAGCTCACCTTGATGAAGATCTCAACAGTGAAGACGGACGTGAAGAAGTAGTCAAAATAATTCAAAATCTGCAACAGTGAAAGTAGGAATGAATCATTAAAACTGACAAGTGTGTGATGCTTATTATTAAAAGTTTACTTCACATACAAGTTCACAAATTATCAGAGCATTGCAATGAAGATAGGATATAAATACAGAAAATTATCAATGAATATATATTATATTTGGAACTAGAATTTATGGGAAAGACCTAAATAAAGTACCTTCAATACTACAGTTTAATAACCCAATCATTTTGCTCTCATTTATAGTGCTATGACATGTATTTATTCAACTGGTCGGGACAACTTATAAAACTTCATCCGCTTCCACATATACCAGAGCAAGGTTGATCTAGCGGCAGATTAGACGGGAGAGTGGCCTACCTTGTTACGCTCTGACATGGTGTGGAGTGGGTCCTCTGCAGCCAACATGGCACTGCTGATGAGGATACAGGCCAACACCACGTTACTGAAGTAGGAGTGATTCACAATGGTGTGGCAGATCACACGGAACCTGGCGGGGACAAACAGAGTTGTACAAGTCACATCAACAAGGTCACAGCATCATACACACATCCACATTCATTTATTTCATTTGAAAATCCTTATGTTTATCAATTTGAATTTCAAAGTTGACATCAGATATAAGTAATAACAATGCAATTATTTTTATTTCATTTAACTTCAAAAAACTAACTGCAGGTTGAAATAAGGAAGCTTGGCTCAAAATTGATGTTTTTAATATGTTATGATATAAGTTGATGTGATTTGTCTACATGTATCATCGCTAATGAAGTGTATGTACTTGTTAGTATGATGGAATATAAACAGGGATCTGGTCTTCGGTATGGACTTCTTCTTGTCGGGGATGTGGAGCTCAGAGATGCGACGAGGTCGTGCTGAGGCTGTCTGTGCAGAATCCTCATCCTCATCCAATTCATCATCCTCTTCTGTTTCCTCACCATCATTCTCTTCCTCGTCCTCTTCTGTAAATGGACACAACACCTCTACAGTGACAAAAACAGTGGACACATGCCATAACAAAGCTGGACAAACAGGTTACGGAAGGGCCGGCAGATTAATTAACACAGATGTAGAGTTAGTCACACAATACATAGCGAAGTTAGTTACTGAGTTGACAAAGGACCACAAAATACATAATACATAGCGAAGTTAGTTACTTATTGACAAATGACCACAAAATACATAATACATAGCGAAGTTAGTTACTTATTGACAAAGGACCACAAAATACATAATACATAGCGAAGTTAGTTACTTATTGACAAATGACCACAAAATACATAATACATAGCGAAGTTAGTTACTTATTGACAAAGGACCACAAAATACATAATACATAGCGAAGTTAGTTACTTATTGACAAATGACCACAAAATACATAATACATAGCGAAGTTAGTTACTTATTGACAAAGGACCACAAAATACATAATACATAGCGAAGTTAGTTACTTATTGACAAAGGACCACAAAATACATAATACATAGCGAAGTTAGTTACTTATTGACAAAGGACCACAAAATACATAATACATAGCGAAGTTAGTTACTTATTGACAAATGACCACAAAATACATAATACATAGCGAAGTTAGTTACTTATTGACAAAGGACCACAAAATACATAGCGAAGTTAGTTACTTATTGACAAAGACCACAAAATACACAATACATAGCGAAGTTAGTTACTTATTGGTAAAGGACTACAATATACATAATACATAGCGAAGTTAGTTACTTATTGACAAAGGACCACAAAATACATAGCGAGGTTAGTTACTTATTGACAAAGGACCACAATATACATAATATATAGCGAAGTTAGTTACTTATTGACAAAGGACCACAAAATACATAATACATAGCTAAGTTAGTCAAACAGCAGAGAAGGGACCACAAAACACATAAACGTCGTGACTTATAGTCACATTGCAGTTATCATCCTGTATACAGCATTCATTTTTTCTCTAAAGCATTTCTCCCTATGAATTGATATGCTGTATGGAGCATGATCCTTTCAACTCCACCCCCAATATTGATGTAGTGTTTTCATCCCATCTGTCTTACCATACACATTACAGCTACTCCCCAATCCCTAATCCTACCATCTACATATCTAGTGACATTTTTTCTATGTCCACCCACATCCAAAAACATCTAAGCTTCTAACAAGGATATGCTGGTATCTAACATTGATGTACAACACATATAATCACGGACCCCCCACCCGAAACCCTGATAAGAATGATTCTGGCATTCTCTTAACTACCATCTATGTACCTAGTGATGTATATTCTTTATGTCATCCACATATAGAAAATTCTGGTAAACAACATATAATCCCCCCACCCCTCCATGATTCTTGGTACTCTCCTCCTACCGTCTATAGGGATCTGCTTGGAGTCCCTCCCCCCCCCCCCCCTTCATGACTCTGGTATACTCCACCTACTGTCTATAGGGATCTGCTTGGAGTCCCTGTATTCCCCCCACCCCTCCATGACTCTGGTATACTCCACCTACTGTCTATAGGGATCTGCTTGGAGTCCCTGTATTCCCCCCACCCCTCCATGACTCTGGTATACTCCACCTACTGTCTATAGGGATCTGCTTGGAGTCCCTGTATTCCCCCCACCCCTCCATGACTCTGGTATACTCCACCTACTGTCTATAGGGATCTGCTTGGAGTCCCTGTATTCCCCCCACCCCTCCATGACTCTGGTATACTCCACCTACTGTCTATAGGGATCTGCTTGGAGTCCCTGTATTCCCCCCACCCCTCCATGACTCTGGTATACTCCACCTACTGTCTATAGGGATCTGCTTGGAGTCCCTGTATTCCCCCCACCCCTCCATGACTCTGGTATACTCCACCTACTGTCTATAGGGATCTGCTTGGAGTCCCTGTATTCCCCCCACCCCTCCATGACTCTGGTATACTCCACCTACTGTCTATAGGGATCTGCTTGGAGTCCCTGTATTCCCCCCACCCCTCCATGACTCTGGTATACTCCACCTACTGTCTATAGGGATCTGCTTGGAGTCCCTGTATTCCCCCCACCCCTCCATGACTCTGGTATACTCCACCTACTGTCTATAGGGATCTGCTTGGAGTCCCTGTATTCCCCCCACCCCTCCATGACTCTGGTATACTCCACCTACTGTCTATAGGGATCTGCTTGGAGTCCCTGTATTCCCCCCACCCCTCCATGACTCTGGTATACTCCACCTACTGTCTATAGGGATCTGCTTGGAGTCCCTGTATTCCCCCCACCCCTCCATGACTCTGGTATACTCCACCTACTGTCTATAGGGATCTGCTTGGAGTCCCTGTATTCCCCCCACCCCTCCATGACTCTGGTATACTCCACCTACTGTCTATAGGGATCTGCTTGGAGTCCCTGTATTCCCCCCACCCCTCCATGACTCTGGTATACTCCACCTACTGTCTATAGGGATCTGCTTGGAGTCCCTGTATTCCCCCCACCCCTCCATGACTCTGGTATACTCCACCTACTGTCTATAGGGATCTGCTTGGAGTCCCTGTATTCCCCCCACCCCTCCATGACTCTGGTATACTCCACCTACTGTCTATAGGGATCTGCTTGGAGTCCCTGTATTCCCCCCACCCCTCCATGACTCTGGTATACTCCACCTACTGTCTATAGGGATCTGCTTGGAGTCCCTGTATTCCCCCCACCCCTCCATGACTCTGGTATACTCCACCTACTGTCTATAGGGATCTGCTTGGAGTCCCTGTATTCCCCCCACCCCTCCATGACTCTGGTATACTCCACCTACTGTCTATAGGGATCTGCTTGGAGTCCCTGTATTCCCCCCACCCCTCCATGACTCTGGTATACTCCACCTACTGTCTATAGGGATCTGCTTGGAGTCCCTGTATTCCCCCCACCCCTCCATGACTCTGGTATACTCCACCTACTGTCTATAGGGATCTGCTTGGAGTCCCTGTATTCCCCCCACCCCTCCATGACTCTGGTATACTCCACCTACTGTCTATAGGGATCTGCTTGGAGTCCCTGTATTCCCCCCACCCCTCCATGACTCTGGTATACTCCACCTACTGTCTATAGGGATCTGCTTGGAGTCCCTGTATTCCCCCCACCCCTCCATGACTCTGGTATACTCCACCTACTGTCTATAGGGATCTGCTTGGAGTCCCTGTATTCCCCCCACCCCTCCATGACTCTGGTATACTCCACCTACTGTCTATAGGGATCTGCTTGGAGTCCCTGTATTCCCCCCACCCCTCCATGACTCTGGTATACTCCACCTACTGTCTATAGGGATCTGCTTGGAGTCCCTGTATTCCCCCCACCCCTCCATGACTCTGGTATACTCCACCTACTGTCTATAGGGATCTGCTTGGAGTCCCTGTATTCCCCCCACCCCTCCATGACTCTGGTATACTCCACCTACTGTCTATAGGGATCTGCTTGGAGTCCCTGTATTCCCCCCACCCCTCCATGACTCTGGTATACTCCACCTACTGTCTATAGGGATCTGCTTGGAGTCCCTGTATTCCCCCCACCCCTCCATGACTCTGGTATACTCGTCCTACAGTCTATAGGGATCTGCTTGGAGTCCCTGTATTCCCCCCACCCCTCCATGACTCTGGTATACTCCACCTACTGTCTATAGGGATCTGCTTGGAGTCCCTGTATTCCCCCCACCCCTCCATGACTCTGGTATACTCCACCTACTGTCTATAGGGATCTGCTTGGAGTCCCTGTATTCCCCCCACCCCTCCATGACTCTGGTATACTCCACCTACTGTCTATAGGGATCTGCTTGGAGTCCCTGTATTCCCCCCACCCCTCCATGACTCTGGTATACTCCACCTACTGTCTATAGGGATCTGCTTGGAGTCCCTGTATTCCCCCCACCCCTCCATGACTCTGGTATACTCCACCTACTGTCTATAGGGATCTGCTTGGAGTCCCTGTATTCCCCCCACCCCTCCATGACTCTGGTATACTCCACCTACTGTCTATAGGGATCTGCTTGGAGTCCCTGTATTCCCCCTCCCCCTCCATGACTCTGGTATACTCCACCTACTGTCTATAGGGATCTGCTTGGAGTCCCTGTATTCCCCCCACCCCTCCATGACTCTGGTATACTCCACCTACTGTCTATAGGGATCTGCTTGGAGTCCCTGTATTCCCCCCACCCCTCCATGACTCTGGTATACTCCACCTACTGTCTATAGGGATCTGCTTGGAGTCCCTGTATTCCCCCCACCCCTCCATGACTCTGGTATACTCCACCTACTGTCTATAGGGATCTGCTTGGAGTCCCTGTATTCCCCCCACCCCTCTATGACTCTGGTATACTCCACCTACAGTCTATAGGGATCTGCTTGGAGTCCCTCTCCCCCCTCCCCCTCCATGACTCTGGTATACTCCACCTACTGTCTATAGGGATCTGCTTGGAGTCCCTGTATTCCCCCCACCCCTCTATGACTCTGGTATACTCCACCTACAGTCTATAGGGATCTGCTTGGAGTCCCTCTCCCCCCCCCCCCTTCATGACTCTGGTATACTCCACCTACTGTCTATAGGGATCTGCTTGGAGTCCCTGTATTCCCCCCACCCCTCCATGACTCTGGTATACTCCACCTACTGTCTATAGGGATCTGCTTGGAGTCCCTGTATCCCACCCCCACCCACCCATACCCCCCTCCATGACTCTGGTACTCTCCACCTACCATCTATAGGGATCTGCTTGGAGTCCCTGTACTCTCCCGGCTCGTCTCCCTCCCTCTTGTCCAGGTCTATCCTAACATGGTGTTCTGTGCTGGGACTTTCTTCCTTCCTGTAAACACAGTACAAACACAGTTAAACTTATATGTACAGAGAATACAGTGAGAGTACATCAATCTAAATTGCAACAATTAGGAAATGGTGTTTTCTAGATGTTATATGGAGGAATTTATTTAACTCTTTGTGGTAATTGTTGTTAACTACTCTGTAAAGCTTCTTCTGCTATCAATAATCTGGAGCCTGCAAACTAAAGAGGTTCCACTATACAAAACCACTAGGGAAACCAAACAATCTGTTTTTCTTTAATTACTATTTCTTACTTTTGCAGCAGGTCTTGGAAAATGTGATCAAATTTCTGATCTGACACAGCTTAAAATGAAGGGTTTATAACTGTTAATGATAGCCAGCATTTAGATTTCCTACCTAGCTGAGCGCCTGGACCTGCTGCTTGGATTGCGAGACAGTTTCTGTGGGAAGCCATCCTCTTCAGTATCTACAGCACCATCTTCATTCATCCCCACTCCTTCGTCTTCTTCTGTCTGCTGTCAATAAATATGTAAATCTTCAGTCATTAACGATTTACGTACATCATAAGGTCAGGTTATAATATCACAATATAACAAGGAAATACATCACTTGTGAGACTGACAAACAATTTTCATAAATTACCTACTTGTAATTTTCATAAATGTTCATACAGAATTTGTTAACCAAAATTCAAGGACTATTCAAGCACTTTTCAAGACCACAGTCACCATTTTGAAGGACTCTTACTGACAGACTAACTCACCTTTTCTTCACAATTCACCAAGTTTGAAATTTTAACATTTAAGCTGAAGTATAAATATAGTATTTCTTGCCATTCCATGTTCATCTATGAGCTACATGAAGAGTTTTAAAATCTTAGTCGTATTGGTGCTTGACATTTACACAATGTAACATGGAGATAAAAAGAAAGCACACATGTGATGTTGAAAGCAAGAACAAAACATAAGGTTATGAGAACAATCTAAGGTTACTGAATTTTGCTTATTAAACTTTGCTGAACATTACATTTTTTTCTTTTCATGCCAACCCTCTAAACTCCTGGAGAAATCAAATCTGTGTGAACCCTGAACATTTAATAGTTTACCTTTTCTTTCTCTCCACCTTCTGGTGTCCTACTTTTTGACCTAATGGAACGTAACCGCTGTTTCTCCTCTTCCATTTCGGCTTCAATCTCAGTCAAACTTTGGGCATCAGCTAAGTTGTCAACAGCGATAGCCAAGAAGACATTCAGTAAGATATCTGGGGGAAGTCAAGGCTACAATAGCACAACCGTACCAACGTCCACAGATCAGTTTGTTACAAGCTGACTTGACAGGGGAAACAGCACCCAATGCTACAGAATGATCACCTTTTGTATTCAGAAAATTTAATTATAAAACTTTATATTTAACTTTTGACTCTCATTACTAACTTTCCCCAATTAGACACAGCTAATAGTGTAGTGTACACCACACCACTACCTAACAGTCCGACCTTTGACACCGCTGACGGGTCCAGCAATTAGCACTAATAGCAATACTTTGACATCTACACAATTCATTAGGTTTTTTAGTGTGCTTTATTATGGAGATTTAAACATTTTGTAATTTCACAACAACAACAATTTACTACACAGCTGAATGTGACTTTAGCCTAGTGTGAATTCCTATTTCTGATGAATTCCTATTTCTGATGAATTCTTATTTCTGGTGAGGTCCTAATTCTGATGAGGTCTGTTGCTGGTTTAGTTGAGGAAAGGATACAGTTTCCACAGATGAATAAGAACACAAAATACAGGCACACAATCACACCAAACTGGTTGACACCTCCGTAGGATCGGATCCCGTCGTACATCACCACGTTCCAGTCCTCACCCGTCAGGATCTAGCCAAACAACAACACGATGTACAAAATTAAGGCTATGTCAATAAATACAGCAGTAAAGTTTTACCAGAAAATTACAATAACATTTCCAATTCTAAAACTTTTTCTTTCTATTTTGCTTTAGACATTCACTGAATACAATACAAATTTAGTTTTGTATAATTCCCATCAATCTATAGTTTATCAATATTTTCCTTTCTACTTCTGCGTAATGTTGAAAAGTCCGACCTGGAACACAGTGAGTAGGGACTGCCAAAACGTGTCAAAGTTGCTACGGGGTTTATCCTCGTCAAAGTTGAATCTCCCACCAAACAGCTGCATCCCGAGTAAGGCAAATATGACGATGAAGAGGAAGAGCAATAACAACAAACTGGCAATGGACCTCATACTGTTCAACAAGGAAGCCACAAGGTTACGTAGAGACGACCAGTATCTGCGGAGTAGAAAATAGTATTTTGTAGATCCCTGTGAAAAAAAACTCTCCTTACCCTATATTCATATCTTAAATTCATAGCACATAAATTCTTCCAAAGAAAATCACCATATTAATGTATACATAGTGCTTTCTCCGAGGCATCATGGTAAATTATCAAGGTTAATTCTACTTAAAAAACAAAATCAGTTCAAATCTTAAAAAAATTATGAATATTTTCTTTAAAAATCTACTTCAAATTTCTAAATTTTCAGTAATGAATTTATAATTTATTAGCGGAAATGCAAACCATTTCATTCCTTGGATAGAATGGCTATTTCGAAATGACAAAAAAAAATGTTTTCAACAGTGAACGTTGTTAAGTCTCCATTCTGTGGTAAGTGGAAGGCACTTTGAAAACTGAACAAATACAATTCAAAGATTGAAAAGCCAAAAGATACATTTTTTATTTTTTTAACAATAACTTTATTTAATATCTAAAACGACTACAATAATTGCGGTGGTACCTACCTGGTTGCCTTGAACACACGTAGAAGTCTGGCACACCTGAGCACACTGACGCCGAGCGGTGGCATGACACCGGTGACCATGAGGATCACCTCCACTATACTACACACCACCACAAAACAGTCAAAGCGGTTAAACAAAGACACGAAGTAACCCTGGAAGCCTAGACTGTACATCTTTAACAACATCTCAAAGAAAAACAATACCACAAAAAACAAATTGGCCACAGCTGAAAAAGAAAAGAAAAATTTGTTAGAGAATTGTAGTATAAGACCCTCAGCGTGCTAACATCCGGGCCAAGAAGAGTGATAAATATAAGTTGTAATAACTTGTTTCATCATTGTTGTAAAATAAATAAAGTTTATAAATATATATAAGTTATTGATGAATGTTTGAATGATCTCTTTAAAACTTAGTTGTACATAAAATGTAGCTAATTGCAAAAAAACAAGCTTTAAATTTAATGATCTTTCTCTGCTGATTTCCATGAGGTGTAATAAAGTCTGTACCTTTGGAAGCAAAGGATGATCAGTTTTGGAGATTGTTTATAGTATTTATATAGTATTCAGTCTGGCTCACAATAACTACAGTAGATAGCAACAGGACAAGTACCTTGGAATTCGTCTAACCACCTGGGTTGTTTATAATGCTCTGACGTTAGAACACATGTATTAAGGAACACCACCACTATCACAAGCCAATAAAAGGCATTGGATTTTACTAGCTTTCTACACAGTCTTCTGCACCGCCGATTCCATTTACGTAAATGTCGGCTGAAAATAGACAAGTACATAATTATCCAACAAACTATATACAATCATTTTTAAAAACAGAAAAGCAATTTTGAAGATAATTTAGAAATATGTTGCCTGTACAAACGAAATCATACTTCATCATTTGTACATGTGTTTGCTGAGAAATGCTGGTGGAATAGATGAATATTAGTGAACAAGATTAGACTGACAGTCTGACTGTGTTGGAGTAGCTGTCCTTATATAAAACAGATATGGATGGACCTGTGATATAAGTAGTTTTGCTCAATTGTTGTACATATTTAAAGGACAAAATTGCGATAAAATCATTGCTCAATTCCTGACACCTTACGGAGAAACACTGGGACAGAGGTATATAATTCCACTTGCCTGATGCCCAGGGAAAGTAGAGTATATGTCTGGGCTAGTGAATATTCTCAAGTTTTCTTTTTTCAGAATTGTACAATAAAAGTATAGGTTGGGCTGGTATAACTTTTCAAAATCTGCCAGCGACCTAGTACTTAGAGTATACAATTACACAACCTTGTAGTGTTGCTAATTTTTTGTTGTACATCTGTATGTGGACAACACTGGGATATTGGTTTTGCTGAATTTTCATATATCTTTACAAGGACAAAATTGTGATTCTATCTCTGCTCAATTCTTGTACATCTTTGATGGGAAAAATTGGGGAAGTGTAGCTGGAATGAAGTTCACAGGCACAATTACTGATCTCATTACACTCAGTACAAAACTGTTGTTCACAGGCACAACTACTGATCCCATTACATTCAGTACAAAACTGTTGTTCACAGGCACAACTACTGATCCCCTTACACTCAGTACAAAACTGTTGTTCACAGGCACAACTACTGATCCCCTTACACTCAGTACAAAACTGTTTCAGGTTTGTTAGGACGTAGCTGACCTTTTGTTTTGCCACCAAGACTGTACTATTTCACCATTTTCTACATCTTCTGTTTTCACTGACGCTGTATCACTATGGTTTTCTGAAAGACAACAGCAAAATAGAAATTTAGCCAGCAATAAAATTTTATGGAGGAATCAATAAAAGAATTCTGTTTCATATGTCAAAATCTACAAAATACTTTTTCTGTCAATTTACTAAAATTTGAAATCAATTTTACCATCAATACATCTATATATATTATAGACCAGAACACTTTCCTGCCTATGATTGATGTTTTGATTCGTGCTTTATTAAGTAGACAACATGATTGCCAGACTTGTCCGTCATGAATAAAATACATTGCAACACATCCTGCAAGTTCATTACATTACAAATAATTATATTAATAATGGAATTACACTGTCTGAATATCATGTGATGTTGCCACAACGTGATGTCACTTCAATATTGATGTAATATAACAGTATGTATACTGTACAGTCGATCGTGTTTTAACATTCACATGGAAATGGGGAGAAATTGGATAGATATTGATGCAATCACATGCTTGAGACACGTATTCCCCACACGTCCCCCGAGGAAATGATGCCAAACAGGACAGATTTCACTCATTCACACGACCAGTAGGACTCCCATCACAAACCTCAGGCCATAAACTTCATATTTATTTTCTTTATTTTTTAAAAACATCTGCTGCAATTTAGGACCAAGACATGAACAAGACATGATTGTGACAGTGTGAAATATAAAGGACATCATTGTATTTTTTGCTCAGCTTTTCTGCCGAATACAGGCTGTTTCCCCTTGCTAAAAAGTGCATTATTTTCCCAAAATGACCCAAAACTGAGGAATACATTCCCAATTTCAATACAAATAATGCTATATTTCCCAAATTCGTAAAGGAACAGGCTGTTGTAAAATTTAGGTAACAGAAACACTGGGCATGGGCTGGAGGGAATAAGGGAAAGGTTCTAGATCCCTCATAAACTATACTAGATATCACCATACCCTAACCATAAACTATATTAGATATCTCAATATCCTAACCATAAACTATACTAGATATCCCCATATCCTAACCATGCTGGACTGTCTTGTCCCTCATCCAACTCTCTGCTCAGAACTTTATACAGATCTCTCATTTTACACAATTATATCCTGCCTCATCATCTATATCTCCCATTTTCCCTATGGAACTATTGTCAAGGTCATGCAGGTCAAGGTCACACCAGCTGATTGGGTACAGCTGCACTCCACACTTACAGTGTCAGAGGTGCCAATACCAGAGACCTTCCATCCTACCTAGTACCGCGACTCGCGTGGATAATTGGAGCACTGATTAGCTCCGATAACCATCTTATTTCGAATAGTTTACGGCACAAACTTTTACACTAAAATTAATGTGGATTGGAGCACCGATTAGCTCCGATAACCATCTTATTTCGAATAGTTTACGGCACAAACTTTTACACTAAAATTAATGTGGATTGGAGCACCGATTAGCTCCGATAACCATCTTATTTCGAATAGTTTACGGCACAAACTTTTACACTAAAATTAATGTGGATTGGAGCACCGATTAGCTCCGATAACCATCTTATTTCGAATAGTTTACGGCACAAACTTTTACACTAAAATTAATGTGGATTGGAGCACCGATTAGCTCCGATAACCATCTTATTTCGAATAGTTTACGGCACAAACTTTTACACTAAAATTAATGTGGATTGGAGCACCGATTAGCTCCGATAACCATCTTATTTCGAATAGTTTACGGCACAAACTTTTACACTAAAATTAATGTGGATTGGAGCACCGATTAGCTCCGATAACCATCTTATTTCAAATAGTTTACGGTACAAACTTTTACACAAAAATTAATAATTTTACACCATTAAAGTTTTAAATGAACTCACATCCAACTAAGAATATGTACTTTTTATAGAATCTGTGTAACTTTTCAGCGTTATTTCCTGTGTGAATCTACTTTCCAATGGTATGTTACACTGATAGGTTACATTAGGAAATATATTTGATCACTTGATATTTGTGATGAAAACATTTTTTTTTTAATAGTTTTAGATATGAACCTGTAATAATTCAGTCTTTAATTTTTTTTCTGGGGTTTATCTAATTTCGGCTATTTCTAATGAAAGTTCAAAAGAAGCTGATCTATTTCAGCTTTTTCTTTTCAAAATCTTTATATTCATTAGGTAACAAACAAGAGGCCCATGGGCCTTAACGGTCACCTGAGTCCTACAGTATTTATTTTTGTTGTTGAAATATGTACCAATTTAAGTAAAAAATAGTTAAGTATAATGTTAACTTAACTTTGTCAGGACCATGAGCTGATCATTCCTAGACCGATTTTAAATAAGATCGGCCTATTATTAATTGTTTTTAAGTTTAGAATAGGTATTTACAAAATAGCGACTGTGGTGGCCATATTGGATTTCTGATTGACCTGAAAAATAACAACACTTTGTCAGGACCATGAGTCGATCATTCCTAC